AGCCGTCTGTAAATAATCGAGCCTGGAGTAGACAACCCAATGTTTAACATGATGAGCATACATCATTGGGATTCGACGACATGCATCAACCGAGTCAGTGACCACTCGATCCTGTTAGTTACTTTTTGCGACATTCATAACCCGGGTCTTCACTATTCTACAATTTGACATCAGCCTCCCACACACCCTCGAGTAGAACAAATGAGCCTCCCAAGCTAACACACAACGTTTTAGATTTGTAACGTCATGATACAACGTTGTCACAACGTTAGCATTACGTCATTTTATAACGTTATGTCACAACCTAATAACAACGTTTCTTATAACTTGGTGTCACCATAGAGTTTTCTGTAAAACTATTCATTCTGAGATTCTTTCTTCACTATTCAGCTACAGGTTCAGAAAACACACGGCCAAAACAACATGCAAATTGACGAATAAACATTGAAGTGAATTTCCGCTTTGTTTCTTATGTATTGTTCACCACCGGGAAAACTATTAACGTTAAATAGAACGTTACCTAAAATACGTTAGCACCAAGTAACTTCAACTTTGTGGCGACGTGAAAATGACATAGCACAACATCAGGCCACAACAACGCTGTGACAACGTAAATGGGAGGCTCTACATGAGGCCCAATGATCTCATCCCAATATTGCAGACCTGTCAGATTACCATTGACAATTACATGTTTTGTCCAACCATCAGCTGTGGTGACACCCCATACCATAACGCAGACGCCACAAAACTGTCGACGTTGAACAACGCACGCGTCAGCAAAGCGTTCACCTCGCCGTCAGTGCATCCTTGCCTGCCATCTGAGCTGTCCAGATGAAATTTCGACTCATCAGAGAACAAAACACCATCCCAATCTTGACTCCTGTATCGTAGATGTTGTCTCCAACGGGAAAGCCGTGCCTGCCGGTGACGTCGTTGCAAAATTGGACGATTTGCAGGCCGTCAAGGCCGGATGTTGTGCTCCCTCTGTTCAATACCAGGTCTATGCACTTCAGGCGGCAAATAGCATGAAAAATGTAAGTCCATTGTGCGTGCACGTGCCACGCGCAATACGTGACATCACATTTCATGCCAAGTGCTTTGCTACATGCTAAAGTGCTTTGCTAAGGGTTATTTTAATAACTTTTCAAATAACTTATTTTTTAGGCAATTTTACGTTATGCACAGTTACTTTTTTTCGTTAGTATATGACCTGCTTGGTATGCTGGTTCCTTGATGTACAAAAGCTACATGCGTTGGTGGGGTGGCATGTTTTGAGCGTTAATGCAAGAATTACAACATCTGTAGCTACTGTTCGTAACATAATCTGTTCATGGCCATGTTTTGCAGCATTTATCTATCCATATCAGACCCACATGTGTGACATTTCACATCTGTGCAGGGATGTGTGACATGAAAACCTCACAAGCATATACATCAAATGTTTATACAGAGCCAGGTTTCAACTTTTGAACAGTTACAGCACCGTCAATGGTCACACTGATAACAGCTGGCTGTTCTGGTGGTGCTGTAACACTTGCTTCTTTATGTGACAAAGGGTCACATTTTGTACCAGCCTACATTTTCTTACACTGATGGTGCTAAAATGAATCATCTAAATTTCCCCAAGTACACGCTGGAGTTTTTTGTCACTCTCCATTGTTTCCAGTTTTTCTTTACCATCTTTTACGTCTATTATTTTCATTTGTCAATCAAAGTTAAAATAATACGTAAAAACACACGCTCTTACTTGGCTCTGTTCTGTCCACAAAAAATCCTTTGTTAAGGTCTCAAACTGTTTTTTTCCTATGGGTCATATGTTCACATGATGCAGATGTGCCAAGTAAAGTGATTTAATTTATTTAAAAACGGCCGTACCGAACAGTATGAACCATGCAATGGAAGAACTGCAATTGGGAGTGGGAATCTCTCAGATTTACCATCATTATCATCATTGCGTTCATTCTGTTCATCATTCAGTTTGATTTGAATTGCTCAAAGGTTGGATATAATTTCAACTCTGATGGAAGTGAGTTTCAGAGGATAGGGGCAGTGCTGGAGAAGGATCTGGAGCCAAACGTTTTTAGTCGATATTTAGGAACGTGGAGGAGATTGTTGTCACTTGATCGGAGTTTACTTGCTGGGGTGTATGGAGACAAGAGTTCAGATCGATAGTCAGGGGTGGTGTTGGGGAGGCATCGGTTGGTGATACAGAGAAGTTTGAACTCTATTCTAGCTTTTACTGGCGACCAATGGAGGTCTCTGAGCACTGGTGTCATGTACACGTGTCTTTGTGTTCTTGTGATAACCTATGCTGTACACCTGTAGCTTTGGTAGCAGTTTTCCATTGATGCCCTGAAGCAATCTGTTGCAATAATCTAGTTTTGATGTTATCAGACCATGGGTAAGCACCATTGCAGCTTGTGTAGTTATTAAGTATCGCTTATTGCTGATGGATCAGAGATGATAGTAACAGGTTCGACTGATGTGGGTGATCTGTTTCTCCATGGAGAGGTATGAGTCCAGGTATACTCCCAAATATTTAAGGTGGTCACTGAGAATTATTTCCGTATCTGCTATCAAAATGGATTGTTCTTCTACTCTTGCCAGCTGTTGCTTAGTGCCGATCAGTATCACCTCTGTATTTTCTCCATTCAGTTTGAGCTTATTTGCTGTTATACGCGACTTAGATGTTGCCGTACAATCATATGTGCTGTGGAAGGACTCCTGAAGGTTCTCGAGTTTGAATTATGTTTTTATTGTCCTTTAGGTCTTTTCCAAAACATCATTTTCAGTCAGCATTGATCAGATAAATTCATACATTCTTATCTTTTGTCATGGACCTCCATATTCCAAAAAGCTGTCTGCTACCTGCCATGTTGGATGGAGTGAGCATTTATATTTATATAAATGTTTTATATTAATGTAAATTAACCATTTCTCCTGTTTTCTTGAACCTGTAAATCATTAATTGTGAAATTAATGGTTTGTATTGATTGACTATCCTCACTTTTTATGAGGAAACAAGGAAAATTGTACAGAATTTTTTTGTCTACTGCACATGCACACACGGACACAAAATCATGTGCCTCTGTATCTAAAATTATTTCAGAAATGTTCTTGTATACGATAACAATTTTGTTGTGTCATTAAACGGAAACTTGATCTTCGCCTCTTCACTATTCCCCCAATACATACAACAGTTTACCCTGATCACCCACTCTCTACAATACATTATCAGTCCCTAATTAAATAATATCCACTAGCTAGTTCATGTATTCTATTTGACAATTCTATTTGTTGTGGGTCAGTTGTGATGCATTTTTGCGACCCCTCCTTCACGGAGTCATTTTTACATGACCGCCAATTATCCAATCTCGCTCGACTATCCCACGCACCCTATTATTTATTACCATTCCCATATTTCAAAGAGAATTTCATAAACGTTAGCTTATGATCGAATCGATACCATAGATTTCAGGATAAATCCAGGATTACATTATGGAATCGTGGACTTTACAAGTAGCATACATTTCAGGATAAATCCAGGATTAAATTATGGAATCGTGGACTTTACAAGTAGCATACATTTCAGGATAAATCCAGGATTAAATGATGGAATTGTGGACTCTAAAAGTAGCATAGAGTTTAGGATAAATCCAGGATTAAATGATGAAATCCTGGATTCTACAAATGGCACAGATTTAAGAAAAAAAGAGGAAAAACATATGGAAAGGGTTTGTCGCTTTTATTCTAATATTAAGCTACAACGGAGCAAGTAGTGAAAGCTATTTTCGTTGAAACGTTATTGACAAATGTACCATAAAATCCACATTTCCTGTATCGCTTATAGCACATACATAGCGACGAATGATGACTCCTGATAACAAGAATAGATATATGTAACTAACATCTCATTTACTTTATGTAGAGTGGTGGTAACATCGGCGATGATATTACTGTTACACACAGTAGTCAGAACACATGGACACATGAACGCTTATCGCCATCACGACGTATGGATATAGTTACTAGCGCCGAAGGGGGATAATGAGGTAGGTGTGTGCATTGCTTAGAATTGCATTCCTGGCGGGGAGTGTTTCTTTTCCAAGGTCTCGATGGTGTGGTGTAGTGCGCATTCAAACTGTGGTATGAGGCAATAATGGTTCTGTGGAACAATATGCTGAAGACTCGTCTTGTTCAATGCCGATATATATATTTTAGAGGTGGGGAGAAGTGGGACCCGAAGTAAAGAAGGTCGTACACGTGCTCAACTGGCCAAAGGAATGATTCATTAAGTTAAACAATTGACTTGCCTTTGCATGTGTTTATGACGTGTACCACGGACGGGAACACCTGGTATCAGCAGTATTTAATAATGATCATTAATGCGTGTTCATGATAGAGTCGATATATTCCAATTGTCTCTCATTTTGCACAGATTGCTTGCAGCTGTGGGAAGAGTTTCACGGTTTTATTTGTAATTCAAGGGTCACGGGCACGGTGAACAATCGATTCGAATCCAAAACCAACGGACTGTGGTATCATTGAGAGCCAAAATTTGGTAGGCCAAATATGGCACCCTCGCCGACTGACCGACCTCGATCTGTACTGTACATTGACTATTGTAGTGATAGGGAATTGTTTACTGGTGTGGTTTCGTACTTGTACCTCACTTTAATGTGTACTGTACATTGACTATTGTAATGATAGGGAATAGTTTAGTCGTGTGATTTCGTACTTGTACCTCACTTTAATGCGCAGGCCTACTGTACATTGACTTTTGTAATGATAGGGAATAGTTTACTGATGTGATTTCGTACTTGTACCTCACTTTAATGTGCAGGCCTAATGTACATTGACTATTGTAATGATAGGGAATAATTTACTGATGTGATTTCGTACTTGCACCTCACTTTAATGTGTAGGCCTACTGTACATTGACTATTGTAATGATAGGGAATAGTTTACTGATGTGATTTCGTACTTGTACCTCACCATTCTTTATTTCGCACCTCACTTTAATGTGTAGGCCTACTGTACATTGACTATTGTAATGATAGGGAATAGTTTACTGTGTGATTTCGTACTTGCACCTCACTTTAATGTGTAGGCCTACTGTACATTGACTATTGTAATGATAGGGAATAGTTTACTGATGTGATTTCGTACTTGTACCTCACTTTAATGTGTAGGCCTACTGTACATTGACTATAGTAATGATAGGGAATAGTTCACTCGGATGATTGCGTACTTGTACCTCACTTTAATGTGTACTGTACATTGACCATTGTAGTGATAGTGAATAGTTTACTCGGGTGATATCGTACCTCACTTTGATGCATACAATGTGTGTACCTCACTTCAATGTATACAATGTTTTTAAATGTAACATATGTTATCTTTGGGATTAGATTCTAGTACTTTCTTTGGGGGGTGAGTCCCATCCGCGGTGGCTGAGTGGGTTAGGCGACTGACTTTGTGTGCTGGCAATTAGCTGCCTGACTCTGAGGGTGTTGGTTCGAATCCCGGATGGGACTCCGCCCAACAAAAGTAATAGAATCTATACTTTACTAAGACAGTGTAATCCCAAATATAACATATGTTACATTGACTTCTTTCTACATGGCATTGTGTAACCAATGTCTTTACAGCTGTGTAATGTCCCAGCTGTAACACCCTGAGCTAAAGCTGAACTGACTGACGAGGGATGGAGTGTAAAGGACTCTCCTGAGGATACAGTCCACACTAAAAACATATGAAACGCTCAACCCATGCTGTCTAACGGACTTAAACTAATAGCATCCCCTAATGCCTTCCCTCTGAACGAATACAATGTTAGTATTCCCTGCGATAGGGATGGGAGACGAGGGGATCATGTCCGTCAAAAAAAGGTACGAATCCATTGGATTTAGGTAAGTTTTGTAGGGTCAATACCACTAATGATATTAATCGTTCGTTAGGCTTTATATTTTACATGACGCCTTTCTTATTTTCATTCCAATGCCACCCATGAAGATCCAGGTTAGAATTGGTCTTCAGCAACCCATGCTTGTCTTAAGAGGCGACTAACGGGATCGGTTGGTCAGGCTCGCTGACTTGGTTGACACACGTCATCGTATCCCAATTGCGTAGATCGAAGCTCATGATGTTGATTACTGGATTGTCTGGTCCGGAGTAGATTATTTACAGACCACCTCATATAGCTAGAATATTGCTGAGTGCGGCGTTAAACAACATAAGAAAAAATCATTCTACTGCAAATCACACACTGACGGTATCGTGTTGGAAGTGACCGGTCTTCAGCGGCAAACGGAACACCTCCTGTTTCACGTCTTCTCCAAAACTGGAGATTGGATTATTTGCTACAACGACCTTAGACGTACTTAACAACAGTATTAATATTTACTTTGTGAGGAGACACGTAGACGCGGTGGCTGGAGGACCCCGTGTCAGCGAGATAAAAATAATAAATTACATAGAAACCTCACAGTGGTTCATTAAAGAGGATGGACAGACCCAATACTGGTTTAAGTACTTTATAAATCATAATAGATCTCAAATATCAATGATGGAAAAATTCCAAAGTGAGTATCAGTAGTCAAAATTCGAACCTATTCGTATTCTGAATATACCGAGATTTGATGAGCAGAATTGTCATCATGTGGCCATACGAAAGTTGACAAAGGATGACTGTGTCTGTATCGAGTTTGGTTGATTACTGCCGTCCACAATGGCATCGCCAGACAATTATACTGATGTAAACGCAGAGTTTCACTCAAATACCTTACACATGTTGGTCCACGTTAGTACGAAATATGAACCCATTCACATTGATAAGAGTAACAACAAGGAGATCGATCAACACGATGGACTCACATATTATTTAGACGTTGATCTGACATTTCTAAATATATTTTATGTTTATCTAATAAAATGAAAAATCTGAAAACATTCGTCAAATAGTTTTTTCTGTGATATATATACACAGTACAAATTATTGAGAATTTAAAGATTGTAAAAAAATGTTTCACTCATTACTCACGTATTAATGTGAATATTAGCAGAACATAACTCCAGATTCAAAGACAGGTGAACAGTTAGTATTTTGTCAAGTCACCATAGGCAGCAATGCAGGCTTCAAAGCGGCGGGGCATATTACTGATCAAAGAAGTAAGAAAGTCCTGGTCCATGCTGTCCCAATATCGGACCACCTCTTCTTTCATTTCAGCAATATTTGTCAGATTTTTCTTATTGACACTTTCCTTCATAAGTCCCCAAACATTTTCTATTGGATTTAGGTCAGGGCTATAGCTTGGCCAATCTCATAATGTCATATTTTGGGTCCGAAACCAGGCCTGTGAATGCTTTGAACAATGTTTTGGGTCGTTGTCCTGCTGCAAAATCCAAACATTTCCATAGAACATGTGAGCAGATGGAAGTAAATGTCCCTCGAAGATATCTGTGTACCGCTCACTGTTCATATTCCCTTCAAATACACACAGGGGCGTTGCCCCGAACACAGATAAGCCATCCCACACGTTAAATTTCGGACTGTACTTTGGGGGCTGATACAAAGGTTTTTCAGTTTGTTTGGTCCAGAATTTCAGTGTATTATGAAACAGCCACACAGAACTTTCATCTGAGAAAATCACATTGTCTCAGTTAAAATTTCTATGCTGTAAGCACCAGTTCAACCTTGGCTCCTTTTGTTCAGGTTTCATGATCGGTGATGGAATTCCTCGACGTTTCTGCCAACCCATTGCATGCAGCTCAGTTTTATTTGTCTCCTTACAGACAGCCACATTTCCTCTATCAATCATATCCAGCCTTAAGTTTTCTAAACTCCTTCGTTTGTTTTTAGAAACAAGAATACCAAGCCGCCCCCTGTCACCTACAGTCAATTTTCTGGGCCTCCCTGCGCCTCCCTGGTGCTCAATGCAATATCCATTTGCAATATTTTTCAAAACACGATAAACAGTGGACAAAGGGATGCCTGTTCTACTTGAAATCACTTTAGCTGATCTGATGTCCTTGTTATAATACTCTAAAATCAACTTCCTCTTCCCTAAATCACCCATACTGATGATCACTGAAAATGTCGTCTGCTAGCAAGTAAACAAAGGGGGATAACTCTTCACAAACTAATGAAAAAGGATTAACGGAGTTGTCTCTCTTGAATGAAACCAAGCAATAAAATTCTCAATAATTTCGGGTTATACTATATAGTGTATATATAGGTGTAGATTGACGTTTGCCATTATAATTGCACGGTCCGTAATGTGTACCCGTGAAGGTCCGGGTTAGAATTGATCTTCAGTAACCCATGTTTGTCGTAAATGGAGACTAACGGGATCGGGTGGTCAGACTCGCTGACTTGGTTGATACATGTCATCGTATCCCAATTGCGTAGATCGATTCTCAGCGCTGTTGATCACTGGAATGTCTGGTCCAGACTCGATTATTTACGGACCACCGCCATATAGCTAGAATATTGCTGAGTGCGGCCAAACAAATAAAACCAATCATAGTGTTGTCTTCATCCAAAATGGCTGAACATATGGTTTCTATAGAAATTAAAAGTTTGTATTACTTTATTGTGAAGTAATAGTTGGTTTAGTTAATACGGATTCATACAGTTTGCCAATCGTGTTTGTATTCGATTCGTACCTCAGTGAACCGAAGAAATAAGCAGTCAATCCTCAAATTAATTATCGCTCACTTATCGCTTACTTACTAGTGTCTCACAACGCAATATAAAACCCTATTGCGCATTTGTAATACGCAGAGATTATTTAGAAACAAAAAAACTCTCCGGTGTGACGTCATAGACACTACCAGGAGATGGCTATCTATAATGTGCTGGTTGTGTGATCAGGGCAACTGTTTTTTGTTGCTGCTTTCTTGTAAATACTTAAAGCACGTATGACTGTTCTTGTAGAGAAAAGTTGTATTTATGTAACTATTTAATATGGTTTTAAAACTTTCGATTAAATAATAATATAATTTCGATCATTTCATATATTATCAGATTCTCAAAATAATTAACACCGTTTTAAAACGATTTTCGTATTTCAATCCCTAAATTTAACTCAAATGTCGATCCTCTGCATTACCTTTCGCTACACTGCTAAAAAGCTAAACTTTGACTCCCAAACACACTGACTAGTAATTGAAAAAACATTTCTCGCTTACTGAGCGGTGAACACTTCTGGGTCTTGAAATATAATGTAAATTAACTTTACTGAGAGGTCATGCGGCTGTAAAGCTTGTAAAGCAAGCATGACCTCTCAGTACCTCTCTCAGTACCTCTTTGACCTATAAAGTATATCAGTGATAACGAAGGCCTTCATGGCACACGTGATAATGGTACGGGTTAAGGTTATTTGCCTGTTTAGATAACCACGTTATATATTGCCTTCCTTTGGATGTATGCTTTGAAAGGTAGGCGTCGTAGCCTAGACGCGTGTTAGATTGGATATAGGTTACACTCTGTTCCAATGAAGTGACTTCCTTCGCACTTGCTGAACCAAAGTTCGTCTTTCATGAGGTCTTCGAAACACCATGAAGTTCGATGACGTTCTCCGCCATGTTGGCGAGTTTGGTGCGTACCAGAAACGGATTTATTTCCTTCTTTGTCTTCCTGCAATCACACATGGAGCCCGGATGATGGTTAGTGCATTTTTGCAGTACGTCCAGAAACACAGGTGAGTGTGGTTGAACGGTTTCAATAGTTACCGAACAGCGTGTCAGACATGTGTGGGAGGAACGCAAGCGTCAGGCAGGGCTTGCTATTCTCGGTCGCATGTGCTTCCATCGTCGGCTCTCTGTGATTCATTCGTATAATTTTCGCTGTTAATTTTGTTTGTTTTTTCTATAGCCACTGGTGCCTGTCTCGTGCGATAATGATGACCTTTTTGTGGCTTATTATCTATCTCATTCGGATTTTGTATTTGTTGAGGGGTGATGTTGATGTGGGGTTGATATCTATTAGAGATTGATGATTTAGCGAACTCTCTCTCATGATGTACAGTCATTTTAACTTGCCGGAACCATTGGCTATAAATAAAGTCTCATCTAGTCATCGACCGTGAATGCTTCCTGGCTTATAGGAGTAAATTCGGTGTAGTCTGGTGTGGTTTAAATATAGATATATTGAAGAAGGAGAACTGGGGCACGGAAGTAAACAGAAACAGATGTTTCGGCTAAAATGTTGGGCACATAGGTACGCACGTGTGTTTCACGCGGCTTAAAGTAAAACAAACACTGGTTACTTGGTAGTGATGTGCATGGAATGAGTAGCAGGGTTGTGTTTCGGGCCTAAACATAGCAGAGTGTGATCGGCTACATCAGCCAAGTATAATGTTTCCATTATGTGTTACACGTTGTATAAGATTATACTTTTCCCTGCCCAACAGGCAATGCAATAAAGTTGACTGCCAGATTATTTCAATTAGCAGAGCGCTTAATACGATTTGTTGGTTAAAATATATGCAATACTACGCCAACAGAAGACCAATTTAAAGAACAAAGTTGTTATTACTAACGTGCATTGTAATTGACAGATTAATTGCATGAACACGTGGGTGAATTAAAGGTTGATAACAGAGCTAATTACAGCCCCAGGACGCAGTTAGTTATTATATAGAAATAAATATCTCAAGTATTACTCATTCATAAATATACATAAATTGTGTCCATTATATCTGACCTTACCATACTCTGATTAAATCAATCAAATCTAATTAAGCACGCCACGCAAAACCACTAAAGAGGTAGCTTGCTAAGACAATTATTGTTGAAGGTTTCGACAGTATAATTTCAAATGTTAACAGCTTTGTTGTCAATTAGGTGGAACGTCAAAGTGTTAACCGTTTCGGCACACGTGAATGCTGTCATTATAAAGGCATATCAATGCTAAAATTATGTTCTTCATTTCAGTGTTATTCAGCAGGAATGACTCTTTCCTATGGGTTTGCGTATCATTTACTGAATGACACGACTAATTAATAAGACAGAAAAGATATATAGTTTGTTTGAATGCTTATTATCTGGTGGGTAACATTTTGTCCTAATCTGACATCATATATTTATAGTGTTCTGGGTTCACTGTTGAATGATTGATGGTTGCTGGGCAACCGCTGTGTATTGTTGTTTTGTCATTTGAGATAAAGGAGCACTCAGTTGACTGAGTTGGGAATACTTTCTCTTCGTGCTATGTGCGGTCCTAATCGTGGTTGTATATCGGTGGGTGGGTGGGTGAGTGAGTGAGTGGTTGAGAGAGTGAGTGAGTGAGTGGGTGGGTGAGTCAGTCAGTCAGTCAGTCAGTGAATCAGTCAGTCAGTCAGTCAGTCAGTGAATCAGTCAGTCAGTCAGTCAGTCAGTCAAGAATGGTATACGCCGCGTTTAACATTATCCCAGTAATACCACAATATGGAGCATTAGACGTGGGTAAGACACACGATATGACCGGATTCGAACCCCGTCCAATTCAGTCTGAATATGTGTTTAGAATAGACAATAGAAAAACAAACTGTTAAGAAAAGAATGGATTATTTTTGTATTTCACGCTGTTGGTATATATTAAGTGTGGGGGGGTTTATAGATTACATTTGGGGGCGCAGGCAGTAACATTTGAAATGTTCTAAATGAAATTTCTAAACATCAAAACATATTTCCCCGTATATCTGACAGAATAAAACAAATTGTGTACATTACAAAGAGCTAACAGTTCAATTGCTAATTTGTATGTATGAATAATGTAGATACAACCCCAATCGTGCGATGAACTCCTCAACCAACCTTAACTGGCTGTATTACTTGTACAAACACCCGTAAACCCCATTGGCTTCTACATGTATCCCTTGTCACTGGCTTCTACGTATATACCCTTGTCGTCACATTGTTACTGTACATCCGAATTCACGTCCTTGGTGTTTCAATTAATTATTTACTGTATATATAGTCCCCTGTTTTTCTACCTTACTCATACTTGCTTGACAACGATACAAGAATCTGTATCGAAACATTGCATCTACCGAACTAAGAAGTTGTTTATCCATAAAGTATACGTCATCATACAGCTGAGCTACTGCTAAGTGTGGCTTTAAACAATAAACCAACAAATCTACACTATACAATGACGAATGAATGGGTGAGTTTGGTTTTACGCCGCTTTTAGAAGTATTCCAGCAATGTCACGGCTGGGGACACCAGAAATGAGCTTCACTCATTGTACCCATGTGGGGAATCGAACCCGGTCGTTAGGCGTGACCAGCGAACGCTTGAACCACTAGGCTACCCCACTGCCCACACAATAACGAAAGTGTTGGGATCGACACCATGTCAAATAAAACTGTTGTAATTCCATGACCCCAAATCCAACCTATTCTTCAAGTCACCCCTGTTTTGGTGAGTTGCTTTAATGATGGATGATAAACTTGCAGGTGTGAAATACCCGGCTATGACAACGACACGTACTCAGTTCAGTCTGAGTACCACCAGGAACTCATCAACTCCACCATCCCCTACAGCTTCCAAGATGGTCACTTGATATATGACCAGTGCCATGTGTACACGAACTCTACGGGTACAGTGACATTGGAGAAGTGTAACCGATGGGTGTATGACAAAAGCCTGTTCCTCCAAACGGCAGTGTCAGAGGTACGTACATTTACCAAGAAGTAGAAGTAGCAGAAAAATGAAAATGATGATGATTTTTTGTGCAACTACTTCTTCTTCTTCTTCTTCTTCTTCTTCTTCTTCTTCTTCTTCTTCTTCTTCTTCTTCTTCTTCTTCGTCGTCGTCGTCGTCGTCGTCGTCGTCGTCATCATCATCATCATTATTATTTTCTTATTAATTATTCAGCATTGTCATCATTATCGTTGTCGTATGATGATTGTTGTTATTATTTTAAACGAAATATCATAGGTTTTGGGACAGATTAAGGGATCGTGTGGCAAGCCGTTTTGACATTTATTAAACAATTAATGATATCTTCTATTGTTTTAAGGACATTTGTATTCTATCTAAACATATCAATAATATGTTTACGACATTGGTAAATAATTGAAGATAGCGTTAATGAATTCGCATATCAAAATAGAATAACTGATATCGTTAAATATCTCGCGATATGTCTAAAAGTGTTTAAGATATCAATAAAGCAATTACGATTATAGTGTACATACTTGTATCAGAAATTAATTCTGTATACCTTCAAGTCCATTGAGGATATCTTGAAAACATATTATGCTCATCCACAAATGCGTTTCAGTTATCTTCAATTCTGGTCATTTCTGGTATCTAAAATCAAATTGAAGATATCATTAATAGCAGGGTAGATAATGCAAGTAACAGGAAACAACGACAAAGAGTATCTCTGTTTTAGAATCGCTAGTTCATTTCAAGACATCTCCAATTCATTTCGTGATATCCTCAATTAATTAAGGATAACTATATCAACAACTGAATTACAGTTATCATTAAAAGATGAATTTAGCCATATCTTAAATCCCATTCCGATATCAGTAATACAATTAAGGCTATCATCAATTCTTTTCAAGATATCATTAACATGCTTCATCATAGCCTAAATCCATTTCACGAAATGATGAATTTTATTGCAGAAAACTATAATTACCTCTATTGGAGATATTTTAATTCATTTCAAGATATTTTTAATTCCATTCAAAATATCTTCAATTCACTTCACGTTATCTCTATTTTCATTCAAGATCTTGAAAACAATTTAACATATCAGTATTTCGTAATAGATATGAAACAGGAACTAAATTACAGTTTACATTAAAACATGAATTTGGACATACATGTATCTTTAAATCCCATTCCGATATCAGTAATACAATTAAGGATATCATCAATTCTTTTCAAGATATCATTAATTTGCTTCATCATAGCCTGAATTCAATTCACGATATGATGATTTTTATTGCAGATATCTGTGTAATTACCTCTATGGGAGATATTTTAATTCAGTTCAAGATTTCTCTACTTTCATTCAAGATCTTTAAAACAATTTAACATATCAGCGTTTTGTAATAAATTTGAAAACGGCTTGCCATATGATCGAATGAAGAGGGACCACGAAAGGCCACACAGCTGTTGAATTCAGTGAGCGTGCGAATGAGGTAGTCGGGCTTGACGCCGGCATCAGTTTCAGCACATGGTATCAGTTTCATGTGGGAGGGGGGCGCGAAGTGAGGCAGGTCTCAGACTTCCGTGTGACCCAGTGACCCACAGGCTTGGGTTCGGCGCTGACATGTACAGGAACACAACCGGGAGAAGGGGGATGTATTTGAATCCAGATTCGTGTGTGTGTTTTTGGCTTGTTTTGTTTGTTTAGTGCGTGTGTATGTGCGTGTGTGTGTGTGTGTGTGTTCATGTATGTGTATGTGTGAGAGTGCGTGTGTGTGTATTTGTGGATATGTGTGTTTGTGTATATGTATGTGTATATGTCTGTATGTATATCTGTGTGTGAGAGAGAGAGTGTGTGTGTGGATATGTGCTCGTGTGTGTTTGTGTATATGTGTGTATATATTTGTATGTGTGTGTGTATGTGTGTAAAGGGGATGGGTATGTGTTTTAGTAAGTGTGTATGTGTGTGAGAGTGTGTGAGTGTGTATGTGTGAGTGTGTATGTGTATGTGTGAGTGTGTGTGTGTGTGTGTGTGTGTGTGTGTGTGTGTGTGTGTGTGTGTGTGTGTGTGTGTGTGTGTGTGTGTGTGTGTGTGTGTGTGTGTGTGTGTGTTCTGTATATTCTAGTACGAATGTATCACCCTAGCCTGTCTCACGGTCCCTGAACCACATTATTTTCCCTACAGCCTTGCCCTCCCTGCAATGCTAATCCCTAAATGAAGCAAGTCTAGATTTTCCCAAGTTCTGAATCTCTGGACTCCATGGGGCTCCTTTTCAATATAAATGTGTGTTTTTTTTATTACAATCAAAATTATCTATATTCAGACACGAAGAGTTAGTTTAGCATCACCCATGTATTTCCGTGTAAATAGAATGTTTGGAAACGTTATTGCTTTTATTACTTTGTGCTTTATGCCTTATTATTTAAAACAGCATGTCAGTAGCATTAATGGCAAGAAATAGTCATGGGTTGGTCGACACGTTGCTGCTGAAATCAGCAAATACTTAGGTCTAATTTCAAGGTCATGTGCTTGGCATATAAGACATGGTCGTGGGAAGCAGCAGCTCTATGGCTTTCCACTGTTCCTTCTCGTTTCTACATAAGCAAAGAATTTTGTTTTTAAAATACGTCATGATGTGTGTTGATACCCTTACATACCTGTTGTTTTCACAATACGTCATGGTCTGTGATGATACCCTTACATACCTGTTGTTTTCACAATACGTCATGGTCTGTGTTGATACCCTTACATACCTGTTGTTTTCACAATACGCCATGGTCTGTGTTGATACCCTTACATACCTGTTGTTTTCACAATACGTCATGGTCTGTGTTGATGCCCTTACATACCTGTTGTTTTCACAATACGTCATGGCCTGTGTTGATACCCTTACATACCTGTTGTTTTCACAATACGTCATGGTCTGTGTTGATACCCTTACATACCTGTTGTTTTCACAATACGTCATGGTGTGGGACGATACTGTTGCAATACAAATTTTACAAATTGCCATGGTACAACAAATATATCACAGTGTTGGAATATGTTTTTCTACAGTAGAACATGATATGTTAAAACTACTCAGCTATAAAACAACTGTTTTTTCCATAGTACAGTATGGTGTCTTAAAGTACCCTCTTACATAACAACTGTTGTATGTTTTCCACAGTTCGACATGGTCTGTGAAGACGCCCTGTTGACGTCACACTCACAGATGTTGTTCATGGCTGGCTTTCTGGTGGGGGTCTTCGTCCTCGGAGCGTTTGCAGACAGGTACCTCACTATCTAAAACAAACTATAGCCATATTTCACAGAGCGATGGTAGCTCTACGAATATCGTAAGTCCACACTCTAACGTAACGCATCTGAATTAGCTCTTTTAAAATCAGCAGCCTAAATATTGACATGTTCATATCTTATCGTCTCCATCGGCCAGCTGCTGATATATCAACATCCTATCACATACAATAGGCTATGTGTAATGTCTACGTACTTATGCTCATCACATGTCATGGAAGATAGGGCAGTGGGGTAGCCTAGTGGTTAAAGCGTTCGCTCCTCACGCCTAACGACCGGGTTCGGTTCCCCACATGGGTATAATTTGTGAAGCCCATTTCTGGTGTCCCCCCGCCGTGATATTGCCGGAATATTATTAAAAACTGCGTAAAACCATACTCAGTCAGTCAGTCATGGAAGTTCCACCAGGGTAAAGCGATATCCCTAACAACGTATACTGGTTGCAAGGGGCGACCAAGTGGATCGGCTGGTCCAACTCAGTGACCTTATAGCGTGTCATATTCTATTGGACCCGTGAACTGATCTTCAGTAACCCATGTTTGTTGCAAGAGGCGACTAAAGGGATTGGGTGGTCAAGCTCGTTGACCTGGTTGAAACATGTGATCGGTGCCCAATTGCGTAGATCGATTCTCATGCTGTTGATCACTCGATTGTATGGTCCAAAATCCGCCATATAGCTGGAATATTGCTTAGTGAAACTAAACTTACTCACTCACTCAAATTTTATTGACGACGTGGATCATTTGCCACAGTATCAATCATTGGATTGTCTGGTCCGGATTATTTACTGGCTGACATTATACGTCCATGTGCCGCATTACAAACACAACAATGGCTTTAATGGTTTCAGTTCCCTACACTGCATGGTCTATTTCAGTATGCCATTTGTTCAGAATAAAACACAGCCAAAAGCGATGGAATGTTCTCTAGGTCCATGTGTATATAAAAAACAAGATAATTACTTGAGGCTTGATTAAATTTTTTTTCTTAAACTCTTGTTTCTGTTTCTGCTCTAGGTATGGCCGGAAGCTTGCCATCTATGTATCAATGGTCATCAATCTGGTGGCAGGCATAGCCTTGGCCTTTGCCCCCAACTTCTACGTGTATGTTGTGCTGCGGTTCCTGTTAGGGGCGTCCACCTCCGGTTACTTCACAGCGGCCTATGTGCTCGGTATTGACGTCTTTCACACTGACTTAATTGGTTGGTAGATAGCGTGCTGTGGATCAGGAGCAACAGCCTCAAGGAAGTCCATGATGGCACAGTGATTAATATGATTAGATGCACACGTTAAGTTAATTATAGCTATATATTCGTTACTCTATCGTGCTCCCCGAAAAATCTCTTTGTTTCTGCCCCACCCAGTTTGTTTCTGATTTCCTATACTTTTGTTATATATCTATTCTCTGCTCCAGCTATAGCATTTACCTAAACGTCACAATGTACTGTCGTTCAAAGAAAGTGTATACATTGTATTTGGTTCCAAACGTATCTAAACGTTCCTAGGCTAAAACAGTCGCCGAAATAACGTAAGGCCTGAATCGCCATGATACGTGGCAATACATTTATACATCCCCGTTGTTGCTCGTTTGAGCCCGTCACACCGAAGACCCGGGTTCGAATCCCCACATTTCCATAATGTGTGAAGCCCATTTCTGGTGTCCCCCGCCGTGATATTGCTGGAATATTGCTAAAAGCGGCGTAAAACCATACTTACTCACTCGTTTGAGCTACTATCAGTGTATACCCGCGTTTGCCCAATTGTTTAGTTTAAATTTGCAATCTCTATATCTCGGCATCCCTCTTTTTCCATTCTTCCTGCTTGCATTTGTATCAAACCAGGCTCGAATAGCAAGGTAGGGTTCAAAGTCATCATTGTCTGTATCGTGTACCATTGGTGTTGAAGGTCTGGAAATCGTTGGCCCCTCCAAACGCATCTGGGCTGGAATGGTCATCAAATACTTCTTTGCTCTTGGTCTTCTCCTGATTGACGGACTGGGCTACGTGATAAGAGACTGGCACCACATGGAGCTTGTTGTCACGTGCCTCGTAGCTGTGTTCCTTCCGTACTGGTGGTAAATATCTTTCGTTATCCTACACAGCCAGCATCACTTGTCTGATACTAACTAAAATGTCAATATTGTTTATAAACTTTCTGTATCAATTTTCTTGCAAGCTGAACTAAAGACTCGGGGCCCGTGAAGATCAGGGTTAGAACGGTCTTCAGTAAAACATCCTTGTTAGAGGCAACTGGCTGACTTGGTTGATGCATGTCGTTGTAAGCCAACTGCGCCAGGTTGATGCTCATGATGATAGTCACTTGATTGTCTGGTCCAGATTCGATTTTTGCTGACCGCCGTCATATAGCTTGAATATGGCTGAGCGCGGAGTAAGCAATAAACAAATACTCGATTTGATTTCTCAAATGGATACACTCATTTGTCGCTGTCCTCTCACTGCTGAGATATTGCAGAGTGTGGCGCTAACACCCCCATCACACCAAACTCGTTCTCAGTACCCTCTTGAAAATTGTTCGGATCGGGCTCGAACTGTGCGAACGGACTGGACGTAGTGGCACCTGTTTACAGTCTGTTTAAGAACTTTATGGACGGGCTCGGTCGGACTAGGGACGGAAGGGTGCTCCAGAATGTTGAACATGTCCAACGTTCTACCTGTTCTAAAATGGGGCGGAGTGACAACGTACCTAATACGAGATTGTCGACGGAATTGCCGAGTACTACGACTACGGAATTGCCGACGTATGCAGACGTACTGCAGTCGGGCATCATTTGCAATATGTTTGTACACAGCTTCCACCACGTCCCTTCCGTTCGCAGACAGACCTAACCCGACCGCATTACCTCCTTAGTTAGTTGCTATTCCGTGCAAATATGTTCAAAACAAAATACATTGTTCTGAAGACGTTCCTAGTACGTCTCTACACGGTTCTAAAAGTTCGCAATTGGTTCTCATTACGTTCTACTGGTTCTTAGAACGTTTATGTACTTCTCACTCAGTTCTTACTACGTCAACCCCGTGTGCAGTACAATATGACAAGGTAGGGTACAAATCCATGCGTTTTGAACACCTTCGTCATTTGGGATAGAGATTTCTACATGTGAAACATGAACAAGTGTGCAGCTGTCAACATGTTGAACGCTGGTTTCCTGCAGTTTTTATTGGAAGCAGAGCAAGAGTACAAGGGTGAGGTGAGGTGAAATTGGGTTTAACGTCGTACTGGAGAATATGTCGCTAATATGACGACGTGAATGCGTGTGTATGTGCGGCTGCTTGTACTAGCCCAGACTTAAGCTGGTTTTATAGTGCTAGCCCACTGAGATACCATGCCGCAGTGAAGCATGAATACCCCACTCAGACACAGTATACTGACTCCGAGCCGACCAGTCCTTGTTGTACCCATTAATGCCGAGCGCCAGACAGGGACCAACAAGTACCATATTTTAACGTCTTTTGGTATGACGCGGTCGGGGATCGAACCCTGCGACCTTCCGCCCTCCGGGCGGACGCTCTAATCACTACACAACGGAGGCGGTCCAGAGAGTACAAGGGGTTGGTTGAGCAAGAAAGGAGGAAAAGAACAAGAACGTGTTGGGTGAGGAACTGGCTCAAACTTTGATGATCATGAGTCCCGCCCATGTTTAATGAACGTCTTGAACGCATCATCCCCTTCATTAATAAAGAAGACACCAATTACAGAAATGCTTTGGAACCAGGGATAAAGCTCACCATCACTCTGCGTCATCCGGCATCCGGGGATTATTATGCCACCTTCAATATGAATTTCGGGTAGCCATGGTGATGTGGATGTTTCTACCTTGAAACTGAGAACGGGAATGAGAACGGACAAGAACGTGCTGGTTACTTACGATATTACGATTGCACGCACTAGGAACGAAGTGAGAACGTGGTGCAAACGGGAAGAACTGCCTGAAAACAAGTTGGTTGAGTTAAGAAAGAGTTAGAACGAGGTTGTGCGTATCAAGAACGAGATAGGTCTAGTTCAGAACGGATATAAACTGACTCAGGACAAGATTGAACTGCTTGAAAACGTTGTCAACACGGGGTGAACGGGCAATTTTGCCTAGTCTAAACGTAATACCAACTGTCTGGGGACAGAATATAGACGAGATAGACGTATTGAGAACTGACTAAGATCAAACTAGCATCGTAATGTTAACAACAATTACACATTCTATCCCGTTCGAGACCGTTTTACAATTATTATGTGGACGTGGCAGGGCGGACTATGAACTATCTTGGTGTGACTCAGGCTTAAACAACTAACAAAAATAACTGTGTCCGTAGCCAATATAGAGCGGCAACTAAATTCATTGCTTACTCATTCCTTAAGGATAATCCCCGAATCCCCAAGATGGCTCCTCACACAGGGCAGGATACAGGAAGCGGAAGCAATCATCCGGAAGGCAGCTGACGTCAACAAGGTGACACTACCCGACAAGCTTTGCGCAGAATCCGATGAGACTCCCGATGAAAGGGCAGGAAATTTGACTGCGTTCCTTCAGCTGTTTACTTCCTCTGTGCTACTATTTAGAACCCTCATCATTTTCTTTAACTGGTGAGTATGGTTCTGAACGGAATTATTCATAGCCGAACACAAACATGATACCGTTATACGACATCTGTAACACGATTCTGACGTGTATCATTAGGTTACATAGTCAAACATCATTGTGTCGATCTTTGATGTCTCGAACTCACAATTGTCTCGAAGTAAAAGCTTTGTCCCTGTGTGTTCCTTAATTTGTAATCAGTTTCCACTGTTTCGAACGTCGGATAGCTCGAAGTATGTACGTAGATTCCTTCAACATCGACAAAACGACGATTTAGTTCAGTTGTAAACCCCGTGTTGAATTCATGAAATCGGTTAAAATACTCAAAATTGTTGGCACAACCTTTCTTTATTTTTATCTATTCTGACATTTTCGTGAATATTTGGAAATGAACTTGCAAAGGACAGTGACTTTGTATTGTCATATGAGTAAGATACTAAAGAAACTTGCTGAAAGGTTTTTGATACAGATGGATGGTTACGAGTGCTCAGTCGTATATTACGACGTTTGTTTTAAGTAACGAGATCGGGGGTTAGACTTGGTTCATGCATGTCATTGTATACCAACTGCATAGGCCGATATTCCGTGACAGTGATCCCAGTCATTTGATTGTCTTTATAATATAATCCCGGTGTCATGCAGCTTGGGTATTGCTAGGTGCGGCGTACAATAAACAAATAATCAAACCTACGATGAAAAGAAATAGAGGAGTCAACAAATGTAGTTACAAATATATTATTATCTAATAGCTACGCATTCCATTCGATAATCTACTGCTTGTCCTTGTGTTTCCATTTGGCTGAACAGATGTACTTTTTCGTTAGAAAGTTAGTTCAGGGTATGTGTTTTCTAAATGTAGACACATGGTAGAACTTTGTCCAGTTAATCAGAAGACAAACTTGGATTCCTCGCATTGATAAAATGTGTGTAATTCACATTCTAGATGACGGGGCATTAGTGACGAGAACAAATGAATCAGCTGGGCACTCTCGGTCACTTGTTTGATTGTATGTCATCGTTCACCGGCGTCGGTTGTTGCTAGAATTTATCTGGTCTAGACTCGACTATTCACAGGAATTTACACACAATTTACCGTCGTACAGCCTGTATAATACTGAATGTGACGTTAAAAAATTATATCTGTTAATCCATACCAAATCGTTTCATCTTGATAGCATTGGTCACTGACCATGAAATCTAGAATGTAAGATAATCAGAGTAGGTAACGACCGTCTCCATCGTGTCCATCCAGGTTAGTGACCAGCATGGCGTACTATGGACTGTCGCTCAACACACAAGACCTTGGCTCCGACAACTTCTTCTTGACGTTCTTCCTGGCCAGCCTGATGGACTTCCCCGGCGTGACCTTGTGTCTGTTCCTGCTGGACCGCGTGGGCAGGAAGGTCATGATGTGTGGGTCAATGCTGATTGGCGGCGTGGCCTGTCTCCTCACCATCTTTACCATCCTCTACCTTGGGGAATGCAAGTACCGGGTATACATAACGTTATCACGCACTCCCACAGGAGGAGAATACACAACAACGATTGGTCGATGGACATAAGTTTTAAGCATGAGGTATACATTTTGTCAGGGCAAATTAATATTAAGGTCATTGTTATTCATCTTCAAGAAATCTGATTTTAGCTTGAAGTTTTTAATAATGGAGAAAATGTTTAACCTAAAATAGATGTACCTAATGACAGTATAATATAGTAACATATGCTGAAAGGTTGGGTCACGGTCAGAGGCGTTTTCGGTCGTTTTGGCTACTGTAGTTACTACCGAATCATCCTCGAGATACCACACTTGCAAGCGTGGAAATAAAAAAGTAGCCCGTTGACAAACTAATGCATTAAACAATGTCTGATAATTCCACCAAGGCAAAAGGGGCCCTTATAATACATGCCCTTTAATCAATGGGCGTAGATGATAAACTGATGTTTAAAACATTGGTATAGTTCCTGTCTGGAATCTTCAGAGGGCTTGGATGTCCACCCAGCAAAACGTCTGGTCAATAGTGTTAAATACACATACACTCGCCCACTCATCCAACTGGAAGTATTTGGATTTATTTATTCGGTATAATTTGCAGTCAGATAAAATGTAAAGAAAAACACCAACCTCCAGTTAATACAGTATCGATTAAAATAAACTAGCTAAATCTATAACAATTCTAAACTGAATTTGGAATACATGGAACAGTGATTAGAGATATATTGGAACCAATGTTTTGGGACCGTTACCCATTTTCATCCAGCGAACGATTTATCTGTAAATCCTGAGGATGATATAGGTATCCGGTATGTTCTGGAACAAACTGGTGGAAAAATTACAAGCTTTGAAATTCGATTCCTATGAATTCCATAGAACAATTTATCTGTAGGGGAAAAGTTCAAAGCAAAAATGCTCTCCATTATGTTCTGGACAAAAACTGATATAAAGAGATACAAAGTGTACCGTCTTGTTCTGAACGACTTCCAGTGAACTATTTATCTGTTGAGGTAAATCTGAAGCAAAAAATAATTTTCTATTATATTCTGGTACAAAATGTTTATATGAAAATACAGGTTTAACAAATCTCTTGTTGAAGAATGTTGTAACTGTTGGGGTCCCAAAGATCGTTGTATCTGTTGGGTTAAAGCCAAAAGCAAAAATGATTCGCCATTATATTCTAGTACAAAATGTTTAAATAAAAATACAAGATTGACAATTCTCTTCTTGAAGAGCATTGTAACTGATGGGGGTCCCAAGAGACGTTTTATCTATTGGGTTAAGCCAAGAGCAAACTCAATTCTCCATTTTAATCTTGACCAAAGTGGTATACACAGATACAACGTATACCGTTATATTCTGAAAGACGACTGTCAGTAAAGTCGGACGTCAAAAATCATGTCCTCCGGTATCTTCTGGAACAATGGAGACGCAGACCACTATATGCCTGCCAAGTTCCACATACTCACTCTTTCTTCATACCATAGCATACCAGTGGATCACAATCACGCTAGCGATGATCGGGAAGATGGGTACAGCAATGTGCTTCGCCGTCGTCTACGTCTTCTCTTCGGAACTCTTCCCAACCGTTGTGCGCAACGTCGCCGTCGGCGCCAGCTCCTCCTGGGCAAGAGTCGGTGGGATGATTGCTCCCTACGTTGCAGATGCGGTTAGTTACACTATATTCAGTTTTATTGTCTTGATAGGAAGACATTTTGGATATATTAGTGTAACTCCGCTTTGAGCGGTTTTATGTAGATTATGATGTGTCTGTTTGATGGTTGTTGGAGGCAGGGGGGCAGGTCTTGGAAGTTTATCACTTTTGTAAAAACGTAAGTTCACAGAGGGGGATATTTTGGCTAGGACGAGATTTACAGTCACCTTGATATAGCTTGAATATTTGTTTCATTTAGGTTCTGTTCATGTCACTAATTGTTTTCCATATTTTTCATCGAAATTTTGTGAGATGTGGACTGGTTAGTTTGAAAGGACGATCTTATCAATAAGTTCACGAGTGAGGTTTAACTATGCTTTGTACACTACCAGTATTCTATTAGGCGTGTCAATTGACTGAGCGAGGTGGGGACTGCTAAATTCGAAAGGGCCATCTTATGAGTGAGTGTGGCTTCACGACGCTTCCAGTTATATCAAGGCTATATCACAGCTTACTGTGCGATGAAAACCCGGAGTAATGCACGTCTTATACGTTCACCACTTTGGTTAAACAAACAAGTACGGTGATGGTACACTGAAGAACACAATCAGGGCTGTGTGTAGTTCGGAACCACAATCTGGCGTGTGCAAGGGACACTTCTGCAGATCGAATAGTGGCGCCTAAGGCGAAAAGGCCATCCATGCACCAGCATTCCATAAGACTGACATAAAACATTTCATCACTTTTTTCAAAGACGTCAGTAAACATTGTCTTGTTTCGGTCTTCAGGGGAAATTAGTGGGAGGTGACTTCGGAAGAGCTCTGCCGCTGTTGGTGTTTGGGGCGGCGTCTGTGGTGGCGGGACTTCTAGCACTGTTCCTGCCCGAGACCTTGAACAGAGATCTCCCGGAGACCATCCAAGACGGCATCGCATTCGGCAGGTATGCTAGACACAAGAGCAAGGGGTGGAAACATATTTTCGATCTATATGCGTCTCTGATTATCACAATGATTTGTAGACCCTGTTAAGCATCAAACTTTCCAGAAAATTCAAGAAAGTGTACAACCTTTAGCTTTCTCCAAGGTTAATCCTATATTTTCCAGTTCAAAATCTGTAAATGTCTTGCCATATTCAACAATACCTTTTGGAGTAGTATACAGACGCTTCCTTCGTTAAGTTGAAAGTTTCTGTGTTTGAATCATTCGTCTTCGGCATACTGCAGGAAAGCCTCATTATGAAACATTTGTTTGGCACTGGCGTGTTCAGTAATGGGCAGATGTTTCACAGGTTCAACAAATATTACGAACAATGGTGTAATATCAATAGTGCAGTTATGCCATATTACGGGGTAATCAGCTGGTATAACAGCGACATCAGTTACGTCATCAAACGTCACTGTATTTCACCTCATTTGTGATGTGCAGAAACACGTGCCATAACGCTTGAGGCATGCACAGAACGTTGCTGGATCGTCACGACCTTTCCAATACGCATGTGCCATTTCTGTTTTATATCAAGTTTTATTTTCATTTTTATATTTATTTGGGCTATGGCCACATTCACAGTCATGGTCCGATGAAGAACTTGAATGTGAAGTGAAACGGGTTTAATATCGCAATGAAAATTATTGCAGTAATAGATGGGTGAGGTGAAGTGAGTTGAAATTGGGTTTAACGTCGTGCTTGAGAATATTTCGCTCATATGACGACGAGCATGCATGTGTATGTGTATGTGCGGCTGCTTGTACTAGCCCAGACTGAAGCTGGTTTTATAGTGCTAGCCCACTGAGATACCCTGCCGCAGTGAAGCATGAATGCCCACTCAGATACATTATACTGACTCCGAGCCGACCAGTCCTTATTGTACCCATTAATGCCGAGCGCCAGGCAGGGACCAACAAGTACCATATTTTAACGTCTTTTGGTATGACGCGGTCGGGGATCGAACCCGCGACCTTCCGCTCTCCGGGCGGACGCTCTGACCACTACACCACGGAGGCGGTCAGTAATAGATGGGGATCGCAGATATGTTACAGCAATAGTTCAATATAAATGATATCATTGGTACCTGTATATATCACAGCCACGTTATCTATATTACAGGTGTAATGTACCTGTGAACATCCAGGTTAGATTTCGAGCAACCCATGCTTGTCATAAAAGACGACTAACGGGATCGAGTTGCCAGACTCGCTGATCTGATTGATGGATGTCGTCGAATACTAACTGCGTAGATCGATACTCGTGATACCAATCACTGGATTGTCTGGTTCAGATTCGAATTTGTACAGACCTAAGTCAATTAGCAGGAATATTGGCGTTAAACAGCAAATACGGATAACTACGACGCTTTGAACAAGGACACTACAGAGCTGGTTAATCGACAGCTATGTTAAAGTTTTTTTTAACAAATATGTTTACACTGCATTCCGGAGTAGGTTTCAGATACACCCTGCTTCTCTTGAGCCGGCTAATGAGGTTCTGTTTGTTCCAATATGCATAATGCTACAAGCAGGTCATGGCGCCCCACGGTGCTAACTAGACTTGGTAACCTAGATGCCTCTGTGATGTTCTGACTAGGATGTTTTCCCTCGCTATCGGTTTAACATTTTCAACGAAAACCGTTGTGTGTTTAATGTTTGAATCTAAATGCACGAAATATCAAAAAGATTGCGAGAACACGGTTACCTTGGGAAACGTTGCTCTAATCACCCTATGGCCGAATTTTGCCCTTGTGGTAGACAGGCTGAGGTCAAAAACATGGACAGTCCGTTTGATTTCATTTGAGACCGATGAACTGCTCACTAAAACAAAATCTAATAAAGGCAACAAAACCAAATTTTGCACAGTCACATGAAATCGACAGACCAACTCTGATGATTTGTCTCATAATTTGGGACACCCGAATAAAAAAATTGTTTAACAAACGATCATTATTTTGTTGTCACTTATCGCTTGTTTGTACGAGGGGAGGGGAGGGGGCACTTGCTGGTAGAACAGCCAGGTGTTCGAGTTGCACGTATGAAATTGAACATTCATTCACAACATACGCTTGTTGATTACCTGGCTGTTCTACCAGCAAGTCCTCCCGGGTTCGATTCTCCACATGGGTACAATGGGTGAAGCCATTTCTGGTGTTCCCTGCCGTGATATTTCTGGAATATTGCTAAATTCGGGGTAAAATTTAACTCTCTCACTCGTATACATCAATGTCTATTTCGGTTTCCTAGGACGCCACCTAAACCCAAACCTCCAGTGATCATGACAGCCTATTGTGTGGATGACCAAATCGAGGGGGACAGAAGGAGGGGTAGTGCGGACGACCACATCGAGGGGGACAGAAGGAGGGATAGTGCGGACGACCACATCGAGGGGGACAGAAGGAGGGATAGTGCGAAAGACAAAAACCTGGAGGATACAGACAAAGAACATCACCAGCACGTGGCTTGAAGTGTCTCCTCAAGATCTCTCGTGTAATCAAGAATGATATTTAAGCAGTTGATAATATCATGCTGGTGTGGCAAATGTTATCTTAGTGTGTCGGTATACTAGTAAGGTACATGTTATCTTAGTATACCGGTATACTAGTAAGGTACATGTTATCTTAGTATACCGGTATACTAGCAAGGCACATGTTATCTCAGTATATCAGTATACCAGCAAGGTACATGTTATCTTAGTATATCAGTATACCAGCAAGGTACATGTTATCTTAGTATACCGGTATACTAGTAAGGTACATGTTATCTTAGTATACCGGTATACTAGCAAGGCACATGTTATCTCAGTATATCAGTATACCAGCAAGGTACATGTTATCTTAGTATATCAGTATACCAGCAAGGTACATGTTATCTTAGTATACCGGTATACTAGTAAGGTACATGTTATCTTAGTATACCGGTATACTAGCAAGGCACATGTTATCTCAGTATATCAGTATACCAGCAAGGTACATGTTATCTTAGTATATCAGTATACCAGCAAGGTACATGTTATCTTAGTATACCGGTATACTAGCAAGGTACATGTTATCTTAGTATACCGGTATACTAGTAAGGTACATGTTATCTTAGTATACCGGTATACTAGTAAGGTACATGTTATCTTAGTATACCGGTATACTAGCAAGGCACATGTTATCTCAGTATATCAGTATACCAGCAAGGTACATGTTATCTTAGTATATCAGTATACCAGCAAGGTACATGTTATCTTAGTATACCGGTATACTAGTAAGGTACATGTTATCTTAGTATACCGGTATACTAGCAAGGCACATGTTATCTCAGTATATCAGTATACCAGCAAGGTACATGTTATCTTAGTATATCAGTATACCAGCAAGGTACATGTTATCTTAGTATACCGGTATACTAGCAAGGTACATGTTATCTTAGTATACCGGTATACTAGCAAGGCACATGTTATCTCAGTATATCAGTATACCAGCAAGGTACATGTTATCTTAGTATATCAGTATACCAGCAAGGTACATGTTATCTTAGTATACCGGTATACTAGCAAGGTACATGTTATCTTCGTATACCGGTATACTAGCAAGGTACATGTTATCTCAGTATACCGGTATACTAGCAAGGTACATGTTATTTTAGTATACCGGTAGACCAGCAAGGTATATGCTATTTTAGTATATCGGTATACTAGTAAGAAACGTGTTATTTCGTATATCAGTATACTTGCATGGTAATGTAATCTTAGTATATCGGTATACTAACATGGCATGTGTCATCTGAGTACAACGTATACTAGCATGCTATGTGCAACTGTGGTATGTGCCCGTCACTGCAATACCACCCTGGTATGTACAAACACACGGTCTACATGTATGATGTATGCTTTTACCTCGGTATATGTTACGGTACATGCCACGATATGTCACGGTATATCCGTAAATTGTATATGCTAGCATGACATATCTTCTTACAGCATAAGCTAAAACGACATTTGCTATCATGGTATATGTTGTCGTAGTATATGCTACTAAATTATATGTCACCATACAATCAAGGTATACATGATCATTTTATATTTTAGCATAGTATAGGCTATCACAGTATCCGCTCTCACTTTACGTATACTGTCATGGTATATGCTACCTAAGTGTTCTGCTATCACGGTAGTCTACCACAGAATATATGCTGTCATGTCAATGATATCATGGCATGTGCCTAACTCACGGGATCCGCGACCACAGTATATATGTTGTTATGGTATATGCTACCAAGGTACATGCTACCTCAGTAACAGCTATCACGGCATGGTCCACCACAGCATATATGCTGTCATGGTATATGCTACCAAGGTACATGCTACCTAAGTAACAGCTATCACGACATGATCCACCACAGCATATATGATGTCATGGTATATGCTACCAAGGTACATGCTACCTAAGTAACAGCTATCACGGTAGTTCACCACAGCATATATGCTGTCATGGTATATGATACCAAGGTACATGCTACCTAAGTAACAGCTATCACGACATGATCCACCACAGCATATATGCTGTCATGGTATATGCTACCAAGGTACATGCTACCTAAGTAACAGCTATCACAGCACGGTCCACCACAGTGTATATGCTGTCATGGTATATGCTACCACGGTACATGCTACCTCAATAACAGCTATCACGGTAGTTCACCACAGTATATATGCTGTCATGGTATATGCTACCACGGTACATGCTACCTCAATAACAGCTATCACGGTAGTTCACCACAGTATATATTCTGTTATGGTATATGCTACCACGGTACATGCTACCTCAATAACAGCTATCACGGTAGTTCACCACAGCATATATGCTGTCATGGTATATGCTACCACGGTACATGATACCTCAATAACAGCTATCACAGTAGTTCAACACAGTATATATGCTGTCATGGTATATGCTACCTAGGTACATGCTACCTCAATAACAGCTATCACGGTAGTTCACCACAGTATATATGCTGTCATGGTATATGCTATCACGGTACATGCTACCTCAATAACAGCTATCACGGTAGTTCACCACAGTATATATGCTGTCATGGTATATGCTACCACGGTACATGCTACCTCAATAACAGCTATCACGGTAGTTCACCACAGTATATATGCTGTCATGGTATATGCTATCACGGTACATGCTACCTCAATAACAGCTATCACGGTAGTTCACCACAGTATATATGCTGTCATGGTATATGCTACCACGGTACATGCTACCTCAGATGCTAGATCACGCTTATCCATATTGTGTTGCATAGATTTCCACTGCAGGGGATGTATCTAGTCAAACTGAACTGACTAATATGGTCATGTTTTTTATGACATTAAGTATTCTTTTGAAATGTAATGAAACATAAGCAGTTTTACCAAGCAGTTAACTAAATGTGCTGAAACAGGAATTCACACCTACGTTCACCAAAGATCATTCATCCTGAACATCTGATATTTGCTTGTTGGGAAGTACCAATTGTATCGAGATCCAGCTGTATAGGAGGCAGTGCCAGTTTTGTATATGTCTGTGAAAATCGTTGTGAAAACTGCGACATCGATGTACTCAACAGGCACTTCCATCAACTATTTACAAAAGTATGCACAAAATTTCAAATATGGAATTATTTTGTTGAATGCTTTACTCAGAAATAAAGATTTACTCTTTGAAAACGTTTTGGCTTGTTTTATCGCGGGATCGGGTGGTCAGGCTCGCTGACTTGGTTTACATGTCATCGTATCCCAATTGCGTAGATCGATGCTCATGCTGTTGATCACTGGATTATCTGGTCCAGAATCGATTATTTACAGACCGCCGCCAAACAGCTGGAATATTGCTGAGTGAGGTGTAAAACAACAAATCAACCGAAATATCACTTGTATCACAGTGTGTCGGATTGAATTCCGAAGACAGCTGGTTGTGATGCAGGCTTGTGTGTTAACCACTCTGGAACCAATAACACAAGCACTGAGCAAGCGGAGGATAAAGTTTGATATTGATATATCGTGCATATCTGTAATGCTTCAGATCCGTAGGCTAAATCATGCTCTACGCGTTACATTCTTGCCCCGCTCTAAAGATCAGCGTGCGTTCCCAGGGCCCTGGAGACTATCCAACCCAAGCTGTCTGTGAGACGCGGGGCGATTACCATAACATTACCAGCTGAATTTAACAGATACTCATTTACTGCATGGTAAAGAGAGGCATGTTTTGAACAGATTTACGTGCCAACAGGGCTCGCATTTCGGTAAACATTTAGGTATCTAACATCAGCGAGGCGGTCTTGTGATGAAGTGTTCGTTCATGACGTTAAGGTCTGCGTTCGATTCCCCGTATGTGTATATAATGAATGCCAAGTTTTGGTGTCACCCGCCGTGATAAAAGTGGAGTGAAGACATAGCCAATCAATCAACCCTGTGAGTCATTTTGACAGGGTTAAATGGTGGCATTGCTGGGATAATGCTTAAAACGGCGTAAAATCACTCAATCACTCACTCACTCGCCATCGTATCCCAATTGCGTTGATCGATGCTCATGCTGTTGATCACTGGATTGTCTGGTCCAGACTCGATTATTTACACACCGCCACCATATAGCTGGAATATTGCTGAGTGCGGCGTTCAACTAAACTCACTCACTTTCTCACTCACTCACTCGCATGAGCCCTGGAGATGATGCTTGCCTCTAAAAGCACTTGATGTTCTTCAGTAAGAGTCAGGGAGCACTAGAACCTCTCACCAAAAGGTCACCGAACCATCAACGAAAACATCTTTGCCTGATATGTGACAGCGAGTCGCCATGTGCCTCGAGGATTTGAACCCGCACTCATAGCATTTTAAGGAGCTTATGACAGCAAATTGCAGCACCTCAGATTAAAGCCCACACTGACACTAGTAAAATATCCGAACTAATTCTATAACGATATGACCATATCAAAATCACGAAGAATTTAATCTTGACAGGGAACATGTTCTTCAGAAAGTGCAGTTCGTTGTGTCTTTTACCAATATTTCAAAGAAGGTCATTCGACCCTTGCTCAGATGTTTGATCATGATTACAACATCCATGGCCTCAGTAAAACATTCATAATGTTTAGGGGCGGTGGGGTAGCCTAGTGGTTAAAGCGTTGGCTAGTCACGCCGAAGACCCGGGTTCGAATCCCCACATGGGTACAATGTGTGAAGCCCATTTCTGGTGTCCCCTGCCGTGATGTTGCTGGAATATTGCTAAAAGCGGCGTAAAACCAAACTCAGTCAGTCAGTCATAATGTTTATCAGTCTGGTTCCCCTGGGCCTGTTGCCGAGTGTCGGAGCGATAGCGCAGGCGCAACAGACCCAGGGAACCAGGCTGAATGTTTAATGGTACACTGGTGGAGGAAATTTCAAAATTTAAGTGACGAAAATTATGTCCAATGCAATCCCCAATGTTAACTTATACCATACGTTCACGATTTTCTCAGGTTACAAACTGACTAGCCTTGGCATACGAGGGTCGGTAAAAAAATAGTCGGCCTCACCCAGAAAATGATACAAATGTAGCTGTTTTTATGTTTTATATTTCTACATATTATCTGTCATGCTCAAGCAAATTGATTTTGCTATGTTCAAGCATCACGACCCCCTTTTTGTTTGACTTTTTATCTTGGTACACTCCAAAAAGCCAAATCTGCAATAAATGCATCACAAACTATAGGAAACAAAATATGCTAGAAACATTTTGTTTGTTTGAGATATACAGAAGTCTGATCGAATCAAACTTAGATATTAAAGTGCATAAAAAGCAATTTGTTGCTACAACCGCTTGTCAAAGTGACTCCCCCTTCATGTTTGCTGAAAGAGCTTGTTTTGCAGACACTACCCACCCCCTTTCAGATGACGTAATCATAAGGACATAACTTATTATAATGTTTTCACTTATTCATACATGATGCCAAGGGTTCACACTAAACACTGAATGTCACACAAGTGTCAGCCTTCAATATTTTGTAAACAGTGCCCGCTTGAACGTCTGGACAGAATGTTTTTGAAAGATTAAAATGGGGGTGTCCTCAAAAAACAGCCCCCATCTAAGCATACATCAAGCAATCTAAATCTCTGACTGTTTATTATGACGGGAAGTCATCCAATACTATACTGTCCATATATTATCTGAGGTACCAAATGACAGATGGTTTTTCTTTTTCTGCAATGTTTGTTAGAACTATTACACGTAATGTGTTGTGATGACTAATATCTCGTTAACCACATTACCCATATATTGTACTTTTGGAGCGGAAGGTCGTGGGTTCGATCCCCGACCGCGTCATACCAAAAGACGTTAAAATATGGTACTTGTTGGTCCCTGCCTGGCGCTCGGCATTAATGGGTACAACAAGGACTGGTCGGCTCCGAGTCAGTATAATGTGTCTGAGTGGGGTATTCATGATTCACTGCGGCATGGTATCTCAGTGGGCTAGCACTATAAAACCAGCTTCAGTCTGGGCTAGTACAAGCAGCCGCACATACACACACACACGCATGCACGTCGTCATATGAGCGAAATATTCTCAAGTACAACGTAAAACCCAATTTCACCTCACCTCACCTTCCTTATGATTCCTTAAAAAATATAATGGAAGCTTTTCAAACATTGGACATAAAAAAAATAGTTAAGCCGACTTTTTGCCCGACCCTCGTAACACCCGGTGTCATTACTATTTCTATAGTGATTCATAAAAACATGTTCATGATAAGTCGGAATCGTACAATCGATTCTGGTTCTATCAGAGATTTATTATGGAGGTGGAAAGTGCCTTACGTTTTGATAAGAGTAAATTCCGTATTTGATAAGAGGGAGTTTAGTTTTACGCTGCACTCGGCAATATTCCAGCTATATGGCGGCATTCTGTAAATAATCAAGTCTGGTCCAGACAATCCAGTGATCAACATCATGAGCATCAATCTGCACAAGTGGGAATCGATGACATGTGTCAACCAAGTCAGCGAGCCTGACCACCCGATCCCGTTTGATAAGACGTGGACGGGGGACTGACGAGTCATACGCTCTATCTACTACACAAGGAGGCAGTTATTCATCGACAAACATGGCAACAATTATCTTAGAGTATGCAATTATTTTGCAATATACTTTCTTTAATCAACAAATATATTCTACTCAAAACCTGTTAAAGAACATCCATAACCGGTGGACACTGTGTTCGAATACCTACCGGGCGGTGGGGTAGTCTAGTGGTTAAAGTGTTGGCTCGTCACGCCGAAGACCCGGGTTCGATTCCCCACATGGGTACAATGAGTGAAGCCCATTTCTGATGTCCCCCGCCGTGATATTGCTGGAATATTGCTCAAAGCGGCGTAAAACCAAACTCAGTCAGTCAGTCGAATACCTACCATCCATAACAGATAACTGTTCTCATGTTAAAAACATGGGTCGGTTTGGGGGGGGAAGTATATTATGAATGGACATTTAGAAATCTGGTTTAATTCCGTGATGGCTGAAATATGTTGTGTATTATGTGTATAAAAACTGACGAGCAACTACAAATAATGTGGATGTGATCTAATTGTTTTCTTTAACTTTAAGAAAATAAATAATCAAGAAAATACAGCAAAACGTTTTTTCGAAAACAATTTATCGTTGGGAATGGTTGTTGAAAAAGTTGATAACTTTACATTGATATTACACAAATGTAAGTATATACAAAAAGAACAAAAGACATACTTTGTTCCATATTTTTTTAAATCACGAAAACGAATCATCTACGGAAAGAGTTTACAGTTATCAGGTACACAAACAGGTGTAAGAGGTATTGCATAATTTACAACAAAACACCATCAATACTCTGCAGTGTGTGAACAACATGTACACAAGTAATACAACAGCATGTAATCATTTGGAGGTGAGGTGAAATTGGGTTTAACGTCGTACTGGAGAATATTTCGCTCATATGACGACGTGCATGCGTGTGTATGTGTATGTGCGGCTGCTTGTACTAGCCCAGACTTAAGCTGGTTATATAGTGCTAGCCAACTGAGATACCATGCCGCAGTGAAGCACGAATACTCCACTCAGACACATTTTACTGACTCGGAGCCGACCAGTCCTTGTTGTACCCATTAATGCCGAGCGCCTGGCAGGGACCAACAAGTACCATATTTTAACGTCTTTTGGTATGACGCGGTCGGGGATCGACCTTCCGCTCTCCGGGCGGACGCTCTAACCACTACACAACGGAGGCGGTCGTAATCACTTGGAAACATGCCAAGGTAATATGCAGAAACCTGGAGTAAATATCCTTCCATAAATGTCAACTGTATACTGTCTGGCCTGTTAAAAAACACACTCACTTTGCATCACAAGTGGATGGTTAATTATGGCATGGCCTTGGGATATTTATCTCCAAAGTTCGACATTTCGTGTAATTGGGTGCTAATTGCATTGGTGCTTTTGAAATAAGGCCACAGTTAGGAATATTTATCAGATTTTATGATCAACTCTTAGAAAGACATTTAGAAGTGACGGGCATGAGGGAGAGAATGTCCACTTCCTAATTCTGAGAAACACGACGTTTCTCACGATATGCTTCCTCCACCATCAATAGATTGAATCCAAGGATGCAGAGAGCTCCAAGATAAAGGTGAAAACTTAAAACTCTTGCCCAACAGTCAGTTAACGCTGACTGGTGATAGCAATGTATAAATTGAAACCAGAGTTAAATTACCACTGATTAAAAAGCTATGGGCAAAAACGAAAGGAGCGGGTTCATGCAACCGATTCAGGATAAAAATATACACACTGGAATGTTTGGTTCCTTGAGACATCCACTCCCTTAAACTTTATGCTAACATATTATGCAATCCTGCGATATGTTTTGTTTCAATATATTAATCTGGACAAACACATAGAATGACCGCACGAATATGCTAAATACACTGAATGATTAATAAACCCTACGATTAAAAGCCTCTGTACCTGAAATTGACCTCTGCTCTTGCACCCAGTTTGTGCTGACTCAAGATATCGACATCTTATGTCGAATACATCAGTTCAGAATGAGCTGAAAGGCTGTACAACTGAAAAGGATATGTCCGTATGGCCGACCCATTAACATAAAATTCTCCAACAATGACGTCAGCTCTAAGGGAAAACGTAAAATTAATGTCCGCCCACTCCGAGGCTGATGACTATGAATTTTGACAGCTTTCTCATAGCTCAAACCTAATGCCATTTATCCTCTCATAAAAATTTCCTCACTGATTCTACAGTCCTTTATTATCTACAAAAGTTAAAGAACTTCCTGCTACTGCGCATACGCTGGAATGCGCAAAGTAGTGCACAGGCTGTTCGATATGTAAATAACTACGCTACCACTTTTTTGGTTCGTGAATTCAAAACGTCAAACGTTCCACAAATATGAACTGTGACATAGTTAAAACATGTGAGCAAACAATTATTGTTAGATACAAGTTTTACTAAACTCGCGTGTTGCCTTTGTAAAATTAGCATCTAACAAGAACCAGTCGTCACCACTCGCCCCTTTCCGTAACAGCTATTCGGCTTGTCCCGGAAATACACGAGTGTGACACGAATGAAGAACGACTCTTCCATTCTATATTGAACACAGCAAATAATTTACAACTGATAATTTACCATAAATGCATAAAACACAGACTGTACAGCTTGAACAAACACATACTTGTGTGGTTTGAAAGACATTGTTCATGTGACATAATTATGGTGCTACGAATTGTAGAAGCAGGGATGATCTACAGCAGAAGCAGAGAAGATCGTCTTCTATTCTCCCTGGTAGAAGTAAAGATTTGAAGAATTCATTTCACTCTCACGAGATTTGATTCCCATGCAACACTCGCAGACTGATTCCAAGACGGATACAAAACTGAAGAATATAACATATAACTGAACAATTCTACTGCTGTGCAGCGTCAGACAAAACATACTGCCATTGTAGGAACATTTTATAAATGGTGGGTGTCACCTGATGTCAGCACTGAGTTTTAACGGTCAATTCATATAATTTCCACACCCATTCTCACTTTACACAATACTGAATTCCTTTCTGAGGATTGTCAAAACTGGGTATTTTTTGTACTGACGTTCTACACTTAACTTACAGACAAGGAAACCATAACTGTTTTTGTAATTGAAAACGAATATCAAAGATTTTAACATTAATAGTGAGTGACTTTAGTTTTACGCCACACACAGCAATATTCCAGCTATATGGGGGCGGTCTGTAAATAATCGAGTCTGGACCATACAATCCAGTGATCAACAGCATGAGCATTGACCTGCGCAATTGGGAACCGATGACAGTTTAACATTAATAAACCCACACAGACATATAATTTTTTATCACACAAGTCAACTGCATTTGGTGAAAAATTAAAACGTATACTAAAATGATGCGTTTTACTAACCATTTATACTGCATTGATACTGCAATTGTTTGTAACATTTCTTTCATAGGTTTTAAGGGAAATAAAGTTCATAACTTATAAATTCTATTTTTTTAAATTATGCATCTCAGAATAATGGCCCAGAAAATATGAACAATAAAAACGAAAAAAACATTCTTGCCTCTAAAACATAATGAAATACAGTCAAACACCCTTGAGTCAAACTTTATGTTTCAAACCTATGGCTGTGTTGAAGTATAAGCTTGGTCCCGCATGTTCCTTTTGCAGTTGAGCTAAACCTCAGTAGACTCAAAGTCTTAACGTAGTTCCCTTCTACTTCGCCAAAAACTGACTGCTGTTTTATTACATACAAGTTACAACACTTGTTTCCAATCCTTTTTTGAAAAGGGGAACAAGAATCATGTAAGCTCATGTAAATGTTAAATGCCGTTAATGAAATGGTCACACAACTCCCACACTAAGTCACACACATTAATATACATTATAATCATGATAATATACTGGTAGACAACATTCTTGTACGTTTGGCCTTGGAATTAACAGCTTGTCATCAGAGGAGTGAGTGAGTAACTTGGGTTTGATGCCCCTTTGAACTATCCCTGTCATATCACCACATATGAACTAAATGTGGAAGGACAGCTGATGTGATGCAGGCCTTGCATGATTTTCACTTTGGTAAAAGGAACGAGCACTGGTATGGAACTGCCAAACCAAGGAACATAGTTAGGGACAACTGGGATTTGAACTAACAATATTCTGGTATTCTGGCATCGGTCAGGACAAGTGGCAGTGTGAGTGTATTTTCTGTGTGTTTGTTGTTAAACACCACACTCAGACATATTCAACCTCTAGGACCACAGAATGTAATAATGATGTCTGAGCCAGACGATCAAGTGATTGATATTCTGAGCATCGATCCAGTCTGTTGGGGAATGACATTCTGTCATCATCCAAGTCATAAATCCCTTCAGTTGAAATGCCAGCCTGCCTGATCTGCTGTCTGGGATGACTAGACTTCATCTTGTGCATTCAGAAAATGCAGTCTGGATGGTTTTGTTGAATTTCTAAACTGAATATGTGAAAGTATATGAATAAAAGTCTAATGAAAACTCACATTAACTGACACAATGATCTAGGAATACAGCTTAGCAACACTTGCAACTGCACAAAATCTTCTTCCAGCCAATGAAATGTTTAGAAATAGTTTTAGCGTGTACTCCCTACAGTGCCACATGGCATGTACTCCCAACACTGCTGCAGTGGGTAGTAGGAATAATACAACAATACAAGGCTGCCATAATAGTGTGTTGAACTTTGTTATCTGACAAAGATTTAAGTTTCACTGTCAAAGAGTTCATTAGTTAAATTAACAAAATCTGGTCAGGCAACTTTCTGACTGGGCAAGGAAATTTTGCGGGATGCCAGTCCGATTGTCTTGCAGGATTTTTTGAATATTCAGCACTCATCCTTGCCTCCTCTCATTCAAACTATTCCTCAACACCTCACAACTATTCACAACTATTCACAACTCAGCAGCACTGTGTAGTATGTTTATGCTACAATGCAAGTCTGCCATAATGATGAGTTGATCTTTCTTCGCTGACTGTCATCTTATTATCATTCGCAAACAGTTGGTTAGTTCAGTTTTGTAAAACACTTTCTAACTGGGCTGTTGACATTTTTCAGTAGCATCATCATCCCTCGATTCATTCCCCAACTATTTTCTTCACAACTTCTTCCAGTTTCATTGCAGCTGAAAGGTCGCCTGCGACGCGGAGTCGGCCATTCATGTAGGCCTGGAATGGCTTCATGCGTCCTGCAAACATGGCCTGCAAGTCACCAACTGTCATCATCAAAGAGGCATCGCTGTCCCCAATTGGGCAGGCACCACTTCCAGCACTGCCACGCCCTGTGGATAAAACAAGGAGCTTCATCACGATTCATAAAGTTTTCATAATTCTATTTCATGGTTCATATTTATTTGCCAAATATCATGTTCAACAAGATATCTTTAACTGGTTCCTTGATTTTCTATTATTCTTGAAAATGTCAAGGTCAAGATTTCTCTAAATTACTGGATAAGAACCAATGACCTTGTAGGATAAAGTGGTTCAAAGACATTCAATCAAATTAAACCTGTGGTACAATCATCACTGAGACATAAGAATTTCAAGAAGGAAATTTGCTGATATCAATTTTTTTCTCTGGCTGAAGAAAAGAGTGAGTGAGTTGCTCTTTACGTCGCTTTCAGCAATATTCCAGCAATATCATGGCAGGGAACACCAGAAATGGGCCTCACACATTGTACTCATGTGGGGAATCGAACCCAGGGCCTCGGCATGACAAGCGAACGCTTTAACCACAAGGCTACCCCACGCCCCCTGAAGTAAAGAAAACATCTAAGTTAGGGCTTACTTCCCTTCCACAACTGACCGGGTTTAAGGTTGTTTTTGTCAGCCTATCAATACTGTAACTAATGATCAAAATCAAAACCCACATTTTCTGTATGTTAAGCCAACAATTCAAACACCAGGCAACAGTGGGAGGAGATCTTATTGAGGTCTTAATCACATGAATTTCTAAATTACCATTTCGGAGATCGAGGTAGTAGATACCCCCTCCCTCCCCGGTCAGCTGGAATTGATACACTGCGGCCACCCTCTGGACCAGGGACTCTGTGATCACAGACTGGGCAGCCTTCAGTATTTCCTCAGGGGTCAAGGTCGGAACTTCACTGGCTCCCTCCACTTCTTCCTGTTCTGCACGTAAAGCAGCAGCTTTCAGTAGATCTGGACGTGGCGAGGGCTGCTCGACTGGTACTGGCTGGTTGTGACCTGATAACAGCAGGTTCGGGATTACCATTTATTTGTGTTTAGTTTATTTGTTGTTTAACAATATTCCAGCTGTATGATGGAGGTCTGGAAATAATTAAGTCTGAAGCAGACAATCCAGTGATTGACATCATCAGCAATGATCTACAAAATTGGTATTCAATGACATGTCAACAAAGTCAGTGAGCCTGACCACCAGATCCCATTAGTCACCTCTTACGATAAGTAGGAGTCGTTGAAAACCAAATCTAACCTGAATATTCATGGTTTATTTCAACTTTGTAATGATACCTGCAGTGAAAGCTCCATTGGGAATGTTACGCAGCAGTGGAAGACTTAAAAATAACTCAACAATTTTCAAAGTTCATTATAGTTTTACTTACAGAAACATGAACCAACGAAATATTTCAACGGTACTATATACAGAAATATGTCCTATTTGACATAACACGACACGGTCTATGTGACCACCGAAACCACCATATGGTCCAATTGAAGTCCTTATTTGACTTTTTACTATTATGCCCTGATTTGGCACTATAAGAGACAGTCGCTGACAGCGTGGCTGCTCTATCGAAAAACAAAACGAACTCCTGCCTAGTTCAGTGACAATGTACACTGTCGCAAGCTATTGCGCAATTCTGCACGTGGTTCACACATGGCTATCCACCTCTTTTGAAGTGGTGCGTTCGTGCGAATGTTTGGGTTTGTTCGGACCTTCTGTCCAGGGAGAGTGCGGCATTAAACAACCAACCAACCACCATAAGATATGAAGATTACTGATACCATAATGGGATCTTGTTATAATGTCACTGAGTTCTATGTCTATGAATTTTCATTGAACCTTCAATTTTGCTAGCTTGACCAAAACTATCAAACCTTGGTAGCCACTTTCAAGCAATATAGTGTATCGTATAGTAGATGGGGATGGCAAATATTTCATGTTTGAAAGTTTAGAATTGGATGGTATGTTGTTAATTGCTGCAATCAGCAATATTCCAGCTGTATGGCAGCGGTCTGTAAATAATCGAGTCTGGACCAGACAATCCAGTGATCAACATCATGAGCATTGTTCTACGCAACTGGTACACAATGACACGTGTCAACCAAGTCAGTGAGCCTGACCACCCGATCCTGTTAGTCGCATCTAACAAGCATGGATTACTGAAGAACAATTCTAACCCGGATCTTCACAGGGGAAGTTTTGGGGAGGGAGGGGCAGTAACAATTGAAAAGATTTGAGGATGCAAGTGGCAATAAGGTAAACACTAGCAGAATCAAGTGATTGTCACATGACAACATGCTGATCAATGGCTTCTTTTCTGTAATGTAGCCTAAACCTTGCAATCAGTGAAATTTTATTGCAACATACCATTAGTCAAATGTTTCATTTCACAATATTACATAGTGTCACAAAGCATGTTTATAAAACTCTAAATTATTTTTCCATAAACAAAATATCAAAATAGTAACCAATTGAAAAGAGAAATATGTTGTTCACCGCTTTTAACAATATTCCAGCAATATCACGGTGGGGGACACCAAAAATGGGCTTCACACATTGTACCCATGTGAAGAAAAGAACCGGGGTACCCTTTCACCATTAGGCCACTCCACCATCACCTTCATACTGACTGACTGTCTGAGTTTGGTTTTAAGCTGATTTTAGCAATACTCTAGCTACATCAAGGCGGGGGACATCAGAAATGGGCTTCACACATTGTACATCACCTTAAGAAGGAACAGTAGAGTTATAATGATATATAATATTACCCTGTAACTTACCCTGAGCGGCTAGGAATGCTGATGCTAGATGTTGTAACGCCTGAGGTAAAGCCGGGTGGTCTTGTTCCCCACCCCCTCTTCCTGACCCACCTGACCCACCCAGCCCACCAAACATCCCAGGAGGCATGCAGACCTGAGGGGGAGGCTTGGAGGGAGGGCCACGCAGGACCTTCACCTGAGACCTGTAACACAATCAGTGTTGAATCTGGTGATATTGGACAGTGAGTCAGTCAGTCAGTCAGTCAGTCAGTATTGAGTGAGTGAGTGGGTATTGAGTCAGTGAGTGAGTGAGTGGGTATTGAGTCAGTGAGTGAGTGAGTGGTATTGAATCAGTGAGTGAGTGAGTGGGTATTGAGCGGGCATTGAGTCAGTGAGTGAGTGGGTATTGAGTCAGTGAGTGAGTGGGTATTGAGTCAGTGAGTGAGTGAGTGGTTACTGAGTCAGTGAGTGAGTGAGTGGTTACTGAGTCAGTGAGTGAGTTGGTATTGAGTCAGTGAGTGAGTGAGTGGGTATCGAGTCAGTTAGTGAGTGGGTATTGAATCAGTGAGTGAGTGAGTGGGTATTGAGTCAGTGAGTGAGCAGGATGGAAAAAATCGGCATAATATAGAGCTGACAAACTTAGTGAACCAAGTTTCAAACCAAGGATCTAAGGTTTCGTGTAAACCCATGGGAAGAAACTCTTGAACCCTGAACAAAGAGTGCATTTAGGTTTCATTGTATTGTGAACAGTTCTCTGGTAAATTACAGCCCATCAGCTCAGTGTGTGGGAGAAAGTGTTGTAGTCAGCATATTCAAGCAGCTTGTAAATAATTAAGTCTCGGTCAGACATTATTAGCAGCTCTCTCATCAACTGGGTATGCATAATCAAACAGATCAATTGGCCTTTCCTGCCGATCCCATTGTGTTGGGTGTCGTGGGTTACTGGGACTATTACCACAGCATAAAGACATATGACATTCAGATATAAAATAGACGTAGTAAGGATGTGATATACATGGAAGTAATGTAATGTTGATGTACTTACATGGTATATGTACAGTTTTCGAAATAGCCACTGGCCCGCCAGCCCGTGGCTAGTAAAAATTCACTCGGGCCAGGAAATGTCCACAGTCGCTGGGCCGACTGGCTAGTGAATTTTCATGGGGTCATTTTGTAAATATATCACTCTCTCCGACTTGTTAGTTATAAGACACTTTTAAATCATGCAAGATTATGGCCTGATAAAAATTTCATCACATCAGCAGCTTAATGATGAAACCCGTGTCATACAGACAATATCTTATTCTCATCTATTTTTGTAATCTTTTGCTTAGTTTCTACATTCAAATTTCAGGCATGTGAATTATTTTCTGGGCTTGTAACTTCCTGGCAAAGGTAGCCGGACTGGCTAGCAAAATTTGGAAACAATTTCCCACACTGTGTATGTATGTACTGATAGTTATTGATAATAGAAATATTTATGGTAAATAGAGAACGGAATATGGAAGGAATGCGGATGTAACATTGATAACATATGGGTGTATTATGGATGTGATGTGGACGTAAATAGGAAAGAATACTGATGCAGTATGTACAGCAGGGCTCCAGATAAGGGCCATGTATGTACGCAGTGTATGAAATAAGTCAAACATCCAGCCAGACATCAGGGCTGGTAACTTCAAAATGTTACCAGCCCAAAATGGATTTAACCAGACCAAATATGGTGGATTTACTCAGATGTATGGAACATCTAAAATTTTACCAGACCATCAGGCTGGCTATAGCTGTAAATTTAGACCGTCCGTCAGAAATCTAGACCGTCTCGGGCGGTCGGACGGGCCTTATTTCATACACTGATATACGGATAAAATATATGCACGATACGGTAGGAAACAATTTAGAAAACGTAGCAGATACGCACCACAGCAATGGTGTACGGTCTTAGAATCATTTACAGACGTATTTATCTGAAAAATTATTGTTTTATTGTTTATTGACCTGTTTACACAAGAGTAGCAATATTGTTGTGCATATATGAAACGAAACACAAGATTACTGATACTCCATTAAATTCCATTCCATACTCTAAATGTACTCATAAGGTTTTCCAGTACTCCTATATTGAAAAAATATGAAGTATGTACTCCTGATGTTAAAAAATTATCTCGAGCCCTGATGGGTAGTATATTATCAGAGGCAGATCCAGAGGGGGGATCCAGAGGTGCGCACCCCTCCTTTTGTCCAGACTGTTTGTTATATGACCATTGAAACTCGGGTGGAAATGAAGTGTGCACCCCCCCTTTTCTCAATAGTGTGCACCCCCCCTTTCTCAAATAGCTGTATCCGCCCCTGATTATGTGGTACAGATGTAAAATGGACGGAATGTCCATCTGATAATCTTGTGATATAGACGTAATATTGATAACATATAGATATAGGATGAATGTAACATGGATGTAAGATGGAAGTAATATGGATATAACAAGTATTTGTTTGTTTTTTGTTTGTTGGTTTGTTTGTAGTTTAATGCCACACTCAGGGTTATTCCAGCCATATGGTGGTGGTCTGTAAATACTCGAGTCTTGTGGGATGAAATGATGTGTCATGACCACACAATCCTCTTACATGTTGCTACGATGTAAGGGACCGTTCATAATTTATGGCTGGGGGGTGATGATGATTTTTATTGAGAAGCATGTACAGTGTTGATGACCCCCCTAAATTTATGAACAAAATAAGTGACCCCCCTGCATGTCATGTACAAAATCAATTACCCCCTTCCCCTTCCCATAATTTCTAAGCATAATTTTAAACATATTGTTATGTACAAAATAGCTCACACACACACACACACACACACACACACACACACACACACACACAGAGCTCCCCTGAACAAAATGGGTGACCTCCCCTTAAAATCATCTCTCTCTCACACACACACCATAAATTATGAACGGTCCCTAATGTGGATGTAATGTGGATGTTGCGTGGATGCAATGTTGATATTGTGTGATGTTGTGTGGATGTAATGTGGATGCAATGTTGATATTGTGTGATGTTGTGTCAGGGGTGAAAATAACCCATTGCCTGACGTCCTAGTCCAGTTGTTTTTTTTCTGTCCGGCAAGCAAATTTCTATATCACGCTGTACCGGTGTCCAGTTGACTTTCCAATGACTGAATGTTAATTATGTCATTTATTTGAAAAATCAACAAGAAAATCGGCAGGTATAGTGGAAAAATTATCAGGACAAGTGATTTTACATGTGCCACTGTACCGGAGTACACTAGCAATTTTAAAGTTATTTCCACCCCTGTGTGTGGATGTACTGTGGATGTTGCGTGGATGCAATGTTGATATTGTGTGATGTTGTGTGGATGTGATGTGGATGTGATACAGATGTTAGGACTTACAGCTCTATGCGACAAATCTCCACTCCCCAGTCCATGGACTGCTTGTTGCTCTCCACCTGCAAATTAGAATAGTATCGATACTTGATATGAAGTGATACTGACTAACTATAGTGTTACACCTCTTTTAGCAATACTAAAATAACATCACATCAGGCTACACCAAGAGTTGACATTACCAGTACTGTATAAATACTTGACGTTATTATACCAATACTTGGCACATATCAGGGTAGTATCAATACTTCACATACATGTACCAGTATATTATCGATATTTGACATGTACCACTATGGTATCAATACTGCACATACATGTACCAGTGTATTATCGTTATTTGACATGTACCACTATGGTATCAATACTGCACATACATGTATCAGTATATTATCGATATATGACATGTACCACTTTAGTATCAATACTTCACATACATGTACCAGTATATTATCGATATATGACATGTACCACTTTAGTATCAATACTGCACATACATGTACCAGTATGTTATTGATATTTGACATGCACCACTATGGTATCAATACTGCACATACATGTACCAGTATATTATTGATATTGACATGTACCACTATAGTATCAATACTTCACATACATGTACCAGTATATTATCGATATTGACATGTACCACTATAGTATCAATACTTCACATACATGTACCAGTATATTATCGATATTGACATGCACCACTATAGTATCAATACTTCACATACATGTACCAGTATATTATCGATATATGACATGTACCACTATAGTATCAATACTTCACATACATGTACCAGTATATTATCGATATTGACATGCACCACTATAGTATCAATACTTTGACACTTTGCACATACATGTACCAGTATATTATCGATATATGACATGTACCACTATAGTATCAATACTGCACATACATGTACCAGTATGTTATTGATATTTGACATGCACCACTATGGTATCAATACTGCACATACATGTACCAGTATATTATTGATATTGACATGTACCACTATAGTATCAATACTTCACATACATGTACCAGTATATTATTGATATTGACATGTACCACTATAGTATCAATACTTTGACATGTACCACTACAGTATCAATACAAACAGAGGTACCAGTTTGGCATCAATACCAAGACATGTACAAGTGTAGGATCCAAACTTGGTATGTACCAGGATAGCACCAATACTTTACAGGTACCAGTATTGAATCAATACTTGACACAATCAATTGTTTTTAAACATTTCATTTTTGTTTCAAGATTGTCTACCAAGAAATCAGCAATGAGTAAGGTCCCATTAAGCCTGCTTTGAACAATATTTGAGTGTGATGTTTGAATATTGTTGGTGACGTTTACCACTGTTTACCACAGAAGTTAAACCCACTAGTAATTCTATGGTATTGACAAACCAGGCATGATAATCAGTTCAGATTTCAGAGACCGCCTCCGTGGTGTAGTGGTTAGAGCGTCCGCCCAGAGAGCGGAAGGTCGCGGGTTCGATGCCCGACCGTGCCATACCAAAAGACGTTAAAATATGGTACTTGTTGGTCCCTGCCTGGCGCTCGGCATTAATGGGTACAACAAGGACTGGTCGGCTTGGAGTCAGTATAATGTGTCTGAGTGGGGTATTCATGCTTCACTGCGGCATGGTATCTCAGTGAGCTAGCACTATAAAACCAGTTTCAGTCTGGGCTAGTACAAGCAGCCGCACATACACATACACACCCATGCACGTCGTCATATGAGCGAAATATTCTCAAGCACGACGTTAAACACAATTTCACCTCACCTCACCTCAGATTTCAGATGAGATATTTCATTATATACCCGACCACCCAATCCATTTGGTCACCTCTTTTGACCACTATTTTGCTGGACACCTATTCCCACTCATAGGTGTGGTGGTGTAGCCTGGTGGTTGAAGTGTTCACTCGTCATACTGTACAGTCAGGTTCGATTTCCCATAAGGATACAATGTGTCAAGCTTATTTCTGGAGTCCATTGCTATGATATTGCTGGAATATTTCAATTTTTTGTCACTGTGACCTTATATACTGTGGCAAACGAAAAACGAAAAAGGGAATGCCACTTCCTTGCAGTGTTTTTCACCCTCAAGCTTGCTAAATAAACCCCAAATTGAATAAAGCAACACATGTACTTTCATTTGTTCCCTTATTTGTTTCCCTCAGTATATATGGACTGATAATCAGAACTGGACATTCATCTCTACAATCCATAAAGCTTTTAAGAAATGGAGGACACAGGTTTGTTGACAGAAAAATAATTAACAGGATCCCAAGCTTCAAGACACTGTCACTTGAATGGCAGGATGAAATGGTCCTGTGCAGTACATTTTATGGACACTTCACTAGGTTCCTGCTAGGTTCCACATCAGCTTCCCTCAAACAAAGGGTTCACCTGGGCTCTTCCTGAGCTATAGCACCCACCTGGACTAAGGGGATAGACTTAAAGGGCTCACCTGGACAGTTGGGGTCACCCATAACTATAGAGCTCACCTCGAGTACAGGGTTCACCTAATCTGTAGTCCTCATCCCAGGTAAGTGGGTTCACACAGAACTATAGAGCTCACCTCGAGTACAGGGATCACCTGATCTGTAGTCCTCATCCCAGGTAAGTGGGTTCACACAGAACTATAGAACTCACCTAGAGTACAGGGATCACCTGATCTGTAGTCCTCATCCCAGGTAAGTGGGTTCACCTGGATTATAGAACTCACCTGGACTATAGGGATAGGCTGGACTATAGTGCTCATCCCAGGTAAGTGGGTTCACCTGGACTACAGAACTCACCTGGACTATAGGGATCACCTGGACTATTGGGATCACCTAGACTATATAGATCACCTGATCTATAGTGCTCATCCCAGGTAGGTGGGTTCACCTGGACTATAGAACTCACCTAGACTATAGGGATAGGCTGGACTATAGTGCTTATCCCAGGTAAGTGGGTTCACCTGGACTATAGAACTCACCTGGACTATAAAACTCACCTGGACTATAGGGATCACCTGGACTATAGTGCTCATCCTAGGTAACAGAGTTCACCTGGACTACAAGGTTCACTTGAAATATACAGTGGAATCTGTCAAATCTGGACTCTTTGTAAACCCATTTTCTCTATAATCCGGACTACTCTCTGTGTTCACCTGGGTTCACCTGGACTGTAGAACTCACCTGGACTATAGGGATCACCTGGACTATAGAACTCACCTGGACTATAGGGATCACATGGACTATAGTTCTCATCCTAGGTAACAGAGTTCACCTGGACTATAAGGTTCACTTGAAATATACAGTGGAATCTGTCAAATCCGGTCTCTTTGTAAACCGATTTTCTCTATAACCCGGAATACTCTCTGTGTCCCGGCAAATTGTTCATAATTTACCATTAAAGCTTGCTTTATAATCCAGACTCTCTCAATTACGGATTACGGACTAAAATAACAGTCAAGACAATCAACTCTCTATGAGAACAATGCTTTGTAATCCGGACGTAGCTGACTAAAACAGTCAGCTGAATAAACGTCTCCATTATTTCTGTTCTCAATGAAGAGCCCCTCCCCGTGACATGGACAGCCAATCTGGAGGCTTGGATGAATACCGCCGTATTCACTGATTGGCTGGAGCAAGTAAACCGACAGATGAGACCACAACGCCGGAAGATATGATAGCTTTTGACAATGCTCCTTCCCATAGATCGAAATTCAACTTAAGCAACATTAAACATTTTGCCCGAGAACACAACATCTATCCTGCAGCCCTTAGATCAAGGGATCATCCGTGCCTTCAAAGCTTGGATTAGGAAGCATATGCTAAGGTAACTGCTATTGAGGATCGAGGACTGTGAAAATGTCGGTGAACTGTGCAAGACTGTGAGTGCTTTGGATGCAATCCATTGGATTAACATTGCCGGGCGTGAGATGACAGATTCAACAAGTAAGTGCTTTCAGAAATGTGGATTTTCTACTGGGCAAGAAACTGAAGACAGTTTACGGTAACGGACAAATGATCACTAATTCGGACTGCTTTATAATCCGGACAAATGAGTCGATCCCAGGCCAGGCCGTAATACACAGATTCCACTCTAGAGCAAACCCTGGAATATAGGGTTCCCTCTGGACTATAGAGCTCACCTGGACTAAAGAGCTCACCTGGACGAGTACAACATGATGCCATAGTTTACATTGCATAATGATTTTGTGCAAGACTAAACCCCTAGTCACAACCGCCACTCCTACATCTCCTGTCCGAGCAGTGTTAAACCCAGCTCATTCCTATTCACCACAACCCACCTGTACAATGCTGGAGATCTCCATCCTCTGCATCTCGATGTCCGACAGTTTCCTCTGGACGAGGAGATTGAGCAGGGCAGTCTGCATCAGGATGCGGGTGGACCGGTCAAGGTTCTGGACATGGGTGATAGACTTTTCTACATCGGCTATACGAAAGAAAACATCAGCGCCAAGCTCGATCACAGCGCCATCTGCGGTCAAAACCTGCATGCAAAATAGATATATTCGTAATAACATGTGTCAGGAGGTTAATCAATGGCTAAGGGCAAAAAAGGGCATAACAGTTTAATTCAAAGAACAGACCGCTTCTGATGAGAAAACCTAGAAATATAATCAGGAAAAAATCGGGGATTGTTTTGACCACAATATTAGGTTTCTTCATACATGCCTATGGAAGGCAACTCTGCAAAGAAATTTGGAAGACTCGGACTACTGTTTACCCAAAGCTTTAGCTTTTCCTGAACAGGACTCGATTTAAGGATATGAAACCTACTTGCACCTGGTGCAACCTTGAATAATAACCTTACTGCACCAGACAAAAACAGGTTGCACCTGCTGCTCAACAAAACTAGGTATAATGCTTGAGTTTTGGTATTGATGATTTAAACGTCACTATTTCATGACTTGAACAGTAACAGGCATTCAGTCAGTGCCTCTGTGCCTCATCAGTCACTGTTCCAAGCCAGATCCTCATCATTCTGTTTTCCACCTGAAGTCTGTGTTCTCTGGACAGCAAATTATCAACATGTGCTGGGATCAAGTTGGAATATACTGTAAAACGAGAAAATTTTGCAAGCAGGATATTTTTACAAACTTTGCGCTAGTCCTGACCTCGCAAAAGTTTTAAAACCCAGAAACGGCAACAAATGTTCGTGGTTTTTTTAAACTTTACTCCATATTATACCATAATATAACATATTTAAAAACAATGCAGCATAGTTAAAACATAGTCTCTAAGCACTATTCTTTATTAGAACATTATCAACACTGTCTTCTCAACGATTCACTCAGTCACTTGCCTGCAGACATTTTGTTTTTCTTCACTTGGTCATAGCTGGACACTACCCATCGAGCACGGATCGGCTTCATTACACTAATCCTTAAATCAACATGTTTGTCGGTCTTGTCCTTCAAGTTCTTTGTCACGCTGTCAGCGTACCACTGCGTGAACTGAGCTTTCATGGCTGTCTCGCCGGTGCAGCCAGCCGGAACAAACTTGACCAGGAAGTTGGGTTGTTTTAACAAGTTGAGGAATGACTCGCATCAGAGCGCAGCGAAAACATCAAAAATGACGAGTAATTTCTGGCGTAGTGGCAGTTTGAGTTGTTATTTTTGCGTAGATGGGTGCCTCTCGTAAAAATAACACGTCGCAGAACCAGATGAGGTATCAAGGTCGCAAAATTTTAAAGGCGGGAAAATTTCTCGTTTTACAGTATATAAGGCTGCATTAAATCAAGCCGTGCTGTGCCTAAGCCGGGGGCGCGGTGGGCGGCTGGCTAAGGTGCCAGGCTAGTGATCCAGTGAGCTTGAGGTGTCGGGATCGAGCCCACATGTGACCGGGTGTAAAAACCTCGGAGTCAACTTTGTGTGCAGACTCTTTCAGTGTTGTCACAACCTCTAGTGTACAGTATACATCCCTGCGCACTTAAAAGAACCCACGAATCCGTTGGTATATGACCAGATGGTGGCCACATGATTACGTGCAAACACCAAGTTGCAAGTACAGCAACGTGGAGTGAACTTGGCCACAATAACTCGGTGCGCCTAGTGGCTGCAAGAGTTGTATGATCCCCAGGGAGTTGAGATTGATAACACGATGTGCCGTTGAGACTGACATCCAATGATCAAGGGAAAAAATACCAGCGCTTTGAGCAAGCACTAGTTGCCTGGATATGTGCGCTATATAAATATCATATAATACAAAATAAGTTCTGAACAAGCCTTACCTGTTTCGGAGGGACATTGAAGGCTTTGATGCGGATATCCACTTTATGCCATCTGTCAATCACTGGCAGTACAAACACAACCCCTGGCAAACAGAACACATCCGCTTATGAGCCCATGTATTTAATAGCTGAGTTCACAGACTCAGGGAGCGATATCACAAGTCCAGATATTTTCCGCTAGGCGATAAAATTTGGGCCGACATAACCAGAGGTCAAAAGTGAGAGCATGTCTGTCTCACTCAAGTATACTTTAGCAATTTTGGTCTCACTTGTTGCTAAAACATATCAACAACTGATCACACCTAGCAGTCATTTTAGCCAACAAATCCACATTTCATGGAAATATGTTAACGTGTTTAACAAGCAACCATATTTCCAGCTACATGATGGCGAAATGTCAGATACCTATAAATAACTGAGTCTGGACCTGACAATCACATATGCACAGCAATCCAACCCATCGGGTTATGAAGACATGCTATCAACCATGTCACCTGCCTGACCACCCAATCCACTTGGCCACCTCTTTACTGACTGACTGAGTTTAGTTTTACGCCGCTTTTAGCAATATTCCAGCAATATCACGGCAGGGGACACCAGAAATGGGCTTCACACACTGTGCCCATATGGGGAATCGAACCCGGGTCTTCGGCGTGATGAGCCAACGCTTTAACCACTAGGCTACCCCACCACCTCTTTAGACCACTGAGGTTGCTGGCAAATTCACCTGTTCAAACCCATAGGGGTGAGGGTGTCGTCTACTCGATGAAGCGATCGCCCATCACGCTGTAGGTTTGGGTTCTCATATGAGTAGAATGAGTGAAGCTTATTTCTGGAGTCCACTCTCCATTGCAGGAATGTTGCTAAAAGTGGTATAAAACCATACTCACTTACTCACTCAAACCTGTGACAGTTTGTTCTGGTTTACACATCGCAGCCACGTATACATACCAGGGCCCTTCACTCCCTTCAGATGTCCAAGTCTAAACAGAACCATTCTCTCGTAGTTTGGCACCGACTGAAACAGCAAGCACTTCATGTCCAAGATTCAACAGAAACTATGGACGTCACGATTCACGGATGAGTAAATGAACTGCAAATTACACTGACACAATACACGATTCACTTACACATTTCTTGATTCATATGTGTGTAGATTTTCCCAATTTCATTAAATCAGTCTTTTTGTCTGATATGAACATCAGATCTTTTACTTTTATGTGATACCTCCTTGATAAACATGTATCATTGTTTCCACTGACTTCATTATTTATCGGACACTGTGTCTGATGACCTAATATTATACCGGTCATTAATTAAATTTGCCAGTCATATCCTATTACCATACTGTAAGTACTCATTTTAAAGTCATTTTTAGCCTGGGTATTTCCAAAGCATAACAGTTTTTGTGACCATGAAGCACAGCCAAGACTGTCATTTCGCTTACCCATGATGTTTTTATTTTAATACATGATTATTTACCGGACACGGTGTCCTGCTGGCTTTCAATTTACCGGTCCCAAACAAATTTTACCGGCGATTTTCAGGTATATACCAGAGAACGGAAACACTGATGTATGGACTGACTGACTGAGTTTGGTTTTACGCCGCTTTTAGCAATATTCCAGCAACATCACGGCGGGGGACACCAGAAATGGGCTTCACACATTGTACCCATGTGGGGATTCGAACCCGGGTCTTCGTCGTGACGAGCCAACACTTTAACCATTAGGCTACCCCACCGCCCCCTGATGTATGGACAAACACCTCCATTACAAGGCACAAATTCAGTTTGAATCTACAATTACACCAAAATTCAGGGGTTACGTAAATATCTAAGGGGCGCAACTCTGCAAGGAGAACTGATTGCACGTGAAAAAGCTGGACCACCAATGTCCCAAAGGACCCTTTTTCTGTTAATTGACCTAAGCCACTAACCGGGGACCAAGTACGTGTATTGGCCTTAAAGAATGCTTGATTATAAGCTTCAGGGTGCTGATGTACACGGCCATCTTACTGAAAAGGTGATATAACTCCAGAGGCCCAGATAAGCTGCGTATCCGGGTAAAATAAGCAAAGAAAATGTCCAATTACGCATTGAAAAACAATTGTTGCGTACCAATTACGCATTAAAAATGTTAGATACGCAAAAAGTTTAAAACAAATGCGTACGAAATATATTTATAAAAATCGCTTGCGTAATGAAAAAGACATCGATTGCTATCAAGTTGTACTGTTAGTATTGGACAAGTGTTGTACTGTCAGTATAGGATGAGTGATTTTTTATGAAATCATTTCCATTATTTATATTTAAGTTGGTTTTGATTAGGTATGACATAAGGCAGAACATACCTTAGGTGAGTAAAATGACTGAAATACGCACATATTTAAAAGCAGTGGGTAACGGAAAATGAAATACCCACTCAAGATTCATAATACCCACTCAAACAAAATACAGTGGGTACAGTACCCACATGAGCTTAATCTTATCTGGAGCTCTGTAACTCCTATACTTCAACATAGTTATGCTAAGGTTGCTTTGTACAATGGCGCCAGATATACCATGTTTATTACCCTAATTGGGTATTCCATGTTTTCAACACACATGATTTGTTTGTTTGTTTACTTGTTTGTTCATTGTTTAACGCTGCACTTAGCAATAATCAAGCCATATGGCGGCGTTCTGTAAATAATCGAGTCTGGAACAGACAATCCAGTGATCAACATCATGAGCTTCAACCTACGCAATTGGGATACAGTGATATGTGTAAACCAAGCTAGCGAGTCTGACCACCTGATCCCATTCGTTGCCTCTCTTCCGACAAGGGGCAACGGGGTAGCCTAGTGGTTAAAGCTTTCGCTCGTCACACCAAAGACCCGGGTTCAATTCCGTCATGGGTACAATGTGTGAAGCCCATTTCTGGTGACCCCCACCATGATATTGCTGGAATATTGCAAAAAGCGGCGTAAAACTAAATTCACACACTCACCCTTACGAATATTGCCTGCCACGACTACATGCTGATGTTAGATCGTAAATAATTGTTTACATATCATGTTTCTGACTTTTAGGGTTATTCAGAACCAATGGAGTAATAAATAGTCCAAGTAGACAGCGCCATACTTTTTCACAATCCTGGATCTGTCCTAGTAGACCATATTAATACTTTTTGTCATAGTTACCTTAAAACTGAACCAGACACTGATGGGGAAGGTGAGCAGCCAGAGGATGAAGCTGAACACCACGACAACCCTGTGGAGGAGTCTTGAAATGAAGCTCTCTTCTGAAAACATCCATGTAGTTCTTGATGGGACAGTATATATTATCATTATTATTATTACTGGCAGTGAATGAAACCGTCATAATATGGGCATATACAATAACTGTTCAAATGCTCTAACAATGCCTATACAGGAAGTGTTAGTGAGAGAGTCTGGATCAATGCCAATTTTAGTTTGGGGGACATCAATATAGATCATAGACAATGACAATCATTAACTAACTGTTAATCGAAATGAAAATATTTCACAGCAGTGATGACTAGTGACCATTTGGTGACAAATGTATTCATGGATTTTTTCTAAAAGGCATCCTGATCATACTTTTGTAGCGGCCCATGAAAAAAACACAATTGAGAATTCTGTGTGCGTAAATTTAAACATATTTCATTACAAAAGTTTATGTAAGATATGATCGATGGCACAATTGTTTAGATTTCCAGATGTCCAACTATGTCCATATGGGTCCATCTATGTGATGCCAATATCTGGTTTCCCACAACATGATATTACTGGAATATTGCTGGAATGTTGCTAAAAACAATGTAAACCACTCAATCACTAATTATGAATGTATGCTGAAAATACAGATACCTGTTTCAAAGTCAGTGATACTGGCCATCTCCAGACTGCCCTTGGAGTATGTAAACGCAGACTTGTATTTGGCCGACGGGTTTTGGTCGTAGGTAAAAGCTGACCCATAGTTGAAAGCTGACCCACCAGCCTCTGGATCTGACCAGTCCGTCATTGGGATGCGTGTGTACTTCACAGACATCTTGAATGTCACTTTAATTCCTTAGAAGACTGGAGAATACCTGACAAGCAGGTCACAGTTTCTGTCCATGGTGGAAATATATTCATTGACCACAGAGATGGCTGTGAGGTTCCTGTTCTTGATGTGCTATGTTCTAGGTATTCTGAAACAATGCGGTTTTTCAAATAGACATGACTTGGGTTGTCACGATTCACTGACGGATCATCAACTTACATTAGGATAAATCAATATACTGTACCGAAATTCTGATGCTCCCTGGACCGTCTATGTGGTGTGGTGGTTAGAGCGTCCGCCCAGAGAGCGGAAGGTCGCGGGTTCGATCCCCGACCGCGTCAAACCAAAAGACGTTAAAATATGGTACTTGTTGGTCCCTGCCTGGCGCTCGGCATTAATGGATACAGCAAGGACTGGTCGGCTTGGAGTCAGTATAATGTGTCTGAGTGGGGTATTCATGCTTCACCATGTTCACTGCGGCATGGTATCTCAGTGGGCTAGCACTTTAAAACCAGCTTGAGTCTGGGCTAGTACAAGCAGCCGCACATCCACATACACACGCATGCACGTCGGCATATGAGCGAAATATTCTCAAACACGACGTTAAACCCAATTTCACCTCACCTCACCTCACCTCACCTCACCTCACCTCACCTCTGATGCTCCCTGACATGTCGCCTTCAACTTGATACATGATACAAAATACATAGGGACTCATAAGTAATGGTTCAAAACATAAAGCATTTATTTGCTTGAAGAATAACCCTTTCTAATCAAACCTCAACTTCATCAACCTTTGGTTTTAGGGAGGTATAAATGTGAAAACCAGTTTGAACACTGGGCAATATCTGCATAAGATCACAGACTGCATATTTAATTTTTTGATACAAATAACTTGTAGAAGACATCGTTCAGCATGAAATCAATTAACACAAGTTCCGCCCATATCATTAATAGTCAATCAGGAAACAGTTGTCCATTAGCATGCATGGCCTTACATTTTTTTCTTTAGGGTAAAACAGCCCCAAAGCATTGTTTTTGGTTGGCACTCTAGGGCTCTACCAGCTTAGTTATCAACACACCTGATAAACATTGAAATATTATCTCCTCAGAATGCCCATGTTCTCAAGATAAATAACCTTGTTTCCTCTCTTTACCACTTACATCAACAAACAGAACTCCCGTTTCTCAATACAAAGTACTTAAAAGATGATCATGGGGGTTGTTGCAAGAATAGGTAGTGAGTGTTAGGAGGCAAAAGCAATGAGTGGACGTACAGGATAGTCTGAATAAGGCCGTCTTTGAAGAAGTATGAATAACTCATTAACTGTCCCAAGCTTATTCAAACACAGGTTATGAAATATGTGTAAAATATCACGTATGAACATGATGAATGCATTGGAATGTATATTCATGAAAATGTGTATTATTCATGTACATTACTGCATATATGTGTGTTAACATGAGTAATGTCGAAAATGCCACACAGCAATGGTCAGCAACAACATCTTGAACATGATCAATATTCTCCTTACATTGTCCTGGCGATATATTGAGATCAATGGCAAGTCAGATGAACATAGGCTACAATCGTAGAAAACACTACAAATCTTATATTTCTATCTCACCTCGAATGTTGTAGTGGAAAAAAATATTAGCAGGTAATGGAATATTGCGAAATGTATCAACTCAGATTTCAGGTTTGTTTACTAAATAGAATGAACTCCCTTTGTGCCAAGGGAAGTAAGCATCAATTTCACATAATGATGGCCGCTAAAATATCGTAAGGATGATTCAAGGATCAGCGTGCATTTGCTTGGAAATATAGTACCAATCAGTATCAGTCACAGATTCGAAATGCATAACAACACTGATACAACAGACTGAATTATATTGCTCTTACGTACATAACTGTAATTACAGCCGCATTGGGACCGTCCTCTTTGCAATTTATTATTTTTTGTTTATATAGCATTCTACCAGAGACCATATAATAGATCTATTATATGGTCTCTGATTCTACGTACAGCTGTACGGTAATGTCAACTCGTGGGTCGTTCTCAAAATTTGCAAAATACATTTCAAGTCAATGTAGAGTTTTATGAATTATGCACCCGACCAAGTGTTACTGTTTGAGGGATTCGTTTCTAGAGATGCTACAGAGAGTGACTGGTATACAGTAGGAAGTCACTCACAGCAATTCACCACCAACGGTTATTACGTGTTTTCCCCAAAAGTACTTTTGAGTATATTCCTGTATATCATCCCTGGGATTTTGAGATGGTTTACGTATCTTAACCTCTTTTAATCTTTGAAAATTGTATTTGCATTTTCGTTTATTTGGGATACAAATTATCCCTTGAATTTCGGATGATTTCATCTAATTTGTATCTCAAAGCCTACCTAGCATCCTGTGGGGATACACCCGAACCGGCCCCAAGCCGAACCGGTCCCTGGATATTTAACCCAAACCGGCCCCGCACCCGAACCGGCCCCTGGGTTAATTAACGGTAATCAGACAGACAGTTCGGGGGTAATTCATCCTGTGTGTTGTTTATCATAACATATAATATACCCGTGAAGATCCGGCTTGGTATTAGTCTTAAGCAACCCATGCATGCTTGGTGTAAGAGGCGAATAACGGAATCAAGTGACCAGGCTCTCTGATTTGGTGAATGCATGACATCGTATCCTAATTGTGTAGATCGATGCTCATGATGTCAATCACTGGATTGTTTAGTCCACACTCGATTATTTGCAGACAGCAGTCATATATAGGTGGAAAACTGCTGAGTGCGAAGTTAATAAACAAACAAACAAAACGTAGCATACCAACGAGTGAAAATGTCGGGTTTACTCAGCGGACCTTCTCTCTTCCTGCGGGGCGGTGGGGTAGCCCAGTGGTTAAAGCGTTCGCTCGTCACGCCGAAGACCCGGGTTCGATTCCCTACATGGGTAAAATGTGTGAAGCCCATTTCTGGCGTCACCCGCCGTGATATTGCTGGAATATTGCTAAACAGCGGCGTAAAACCAAACTCACTCACTCTTCCTGCACATTTGGTTTCTGATAACTGAAACTCACAACTCTTTTTTGGCAACCTGTCTGTTCGAAACTACACGAGTGGTCGCGATTCAGTAAAGTTACGGGTTTTAGTCCACAGGGGCGTGTCACGCTTAGAAACGGCGTTAGAAAGACATAAAGGTATATAGACCCTACATATATAGAAGGTATATAGAAGGGCCTTTTATATAGTACTAGGGTAGGGTCTATATACCTATATGTCTTTCTAACGCCGTTTCTAAGCGTGACACGCCCCTGTGTTTTAGTCAATACTCATTGACTGTTTTTGAAAGACATCCACCCAGTTTACTACTCGATGGTGCGTAGAAACGGGGTATGTATAGCGACAGACGACCAGTCGATAACTTTTTCCCACATCATTAATATCTCACATCTTTATGTTGCTAGGCTACACGTGAGACGTGGTAGCATAGAAATAAATCATGAATGAAAGGCGAGGAAATTATGGCATGAACGCTGATCGATTAAAGGCACCAGCAACAGGGACATAGTGTTTTGTTATAGCAACAGTCGTTACTGTGGAACATATTTCAGTACATTCAGATTAAGCGGCTCCATTTACCGACAATAATCTTACGTGTGACGTCATACCTTGAAACACTTGTGTGCTCATTATGACGTCATAGGGCCACAGTATTTTAGAATAGAATTTCATTTCATTCTTTCAAGGATGTGAGGCGAGAGGCTCTGTTTTAGAATCATGATGTTTTCAGAGTTTTTGTTTTTAACGAACAGTTGAGGCGAAAAAGTGTGACTGCTCGGTTAAGGTTAAGGTACGTATGTAAGTGTAGGGTATTAATTGAGAAACAAGCAATACATATGACGACTTGATCCGGGTCTGGGTACCTGGACACAATAAGATATTGTAAGGAGGAAAGTTTTGCTTGATTTTCTTTTCATGGTCGTTGTTGTTTTGTTTTGTTTTAATATAGAATGGACTGACTGACTGAGTTTGGTTTTACGCCGCTTTTAGCAATATTCCAGCAAAATCACGGCGGGGGACACCAGAAATGGGCTTCACACATTGTACCCATGTGAGGATTCGAACCCGGGTCTTCGGCGTGACGAGCAAACGCTTTAACCATTAGGCTACCCCACCGCCCCTAATATAGAATTGAGGAGGGGGTAGGTTGCTTTTTTTTTTTTTGGTTGCTGTTTTGTTGTTTTGTGTTTTTGTTTGGGTTTTTTGGGGTTGTTGTTTTGTGTGTTGTTTTGTTTCTTTGCTGTTTTGGTTTAGGAGGTTGTTGTTGTTTTTTTTGGGGGGGGGATTTGTTTGTTTCTATTTGGTTTTTATTATTGTTGTTGTCTTTTTTTTTTGTTCGACGTCATAACAACATTAATTAGTCACTCTGTGTTAAATGGTAGCATATATATAATCGAGCAGAGAAGAGAAAGTGTAGCAATTGATGTCAGTCGAATAATTTAACACAGATGGTATACAACTAGGTCAGGAGGCCTTAACATCTGCTTCTTCCGACAGCACGACTCACGACGTTAATGACATCGATGACACAAGCAGACACGTTTCAAACACGTGTCAGAGATGCATTATTTCGTTCCCTAGGTATGGCTGAATCACACCTGGTACTATCCTTCATAACCCCAGGGCTTGTGAAATCTCTTGTAAAATGTAGCAATTGTCATCATTCGAATCATTTAACGCTTACGTGTATGTGCGTGATCGCGTGTGAGTATGTGTGTATGTGCGTTCAAGTGTGTGCTAATGTGTGTGCGTGTGCGTCTCTGTGTGTTTGCTTGTATGTGCGTGTATGTGTGCATCTGTGTGTGAGTGTGTCTATCTGTGTGTGGTTGTTTGCACGTGTATGTTTGTGTATAATTATCTTGCTCTGTGCGTGCGTGCGTGCGCAGGTAGGTAGGTAACGTATTAATAAAACGTGAGCAAGGTCACAGTCATCAAACCCGCTAAGAATATAACAAAGGGTACACTATTCGCAATATACTACATACAGTTTTCCCAGAAATTATTGAGAAAATCTTTCTTGCCTAATACTGATAATAAAGTTTTAAAATAGTTATTGCATTATGTAGTAAGGCACTCAACATGGGAGGCAACTCTTGTAGGCTTAATAATTAAGTTTACTACATCAAGAGTTATCTTCCCTGGTGTAGCAGACGGCTTCCTTTCTTGACAAGCAGGCAGCAGAAGATAAAAGAAAGCGGGTTCTGGATGATTTTGAAAGGGATGTGACTAATTATATAATGAAAAAGAGTTAGCCTGTAGTCATGACATTCCTCTGTCTACAGTATACAGAACTTTGAAGAATATTCAGTCAGGATCGAGTTGGACTGAGCACAAGACGGGGGTTAGAGGCCACGGAAGTTCAGTACTACGGATCGCCAGCGACTTGATCAGATTGTGAGTAGGGGGGAAATTGAAAAGCGTTGAGAATATCAGAGATAGGATTATTAATAGAGGAAGTCCTCAGGTAAGTATTGAAACTCTTAGACAAGAAATACCAAGACTTAACTGGGTGAAAAAGCGTGGAATTCCCTCACCATTGATGAAAGGTGTCCAAAAAGAAACACTTTTAAACTGGTGTAGGGTTCACGAAGATTTGGATAATGTTTTCTTTTCTGATGAAAGTACTGTGTGGCTTTTTCCGAACTGTGTGAAAATTTGGACAAAAGATACCGTAAAACCTATAATTATAACAACGCCCAAAACATAGCCCGAAATTTCACTTGTGGTGTGGGATATAATCACGTGCAGTGACGCCGTTGAGTATTTTCACTGGAAATATGACGAAGGAACGATATGTTGACATCTTAAATGATCACCTCCTTCCAACCGCACGAACACTGTATGAAGATAATTAGATCTTCCAGCGTGATAATGACCCAAAACACACTGCGGGCTACACGAAACAGTGGTTGTCGGACGAAAATGTTCAAGTTTTAGACTGGCCCAGCTACATCCCAGATCTTAACCTATTGAGAATGTGTAGGGCCTAATGAAGGACAGAATAAACCAAAAAGGACTTAGAAATATTGAGGATATGAAGAAAGAAGAGGTCGAATATTGGGATACGCTGTCACACGATTTCCTACAAACTTTGATCGGTAGTGTACCAAGGCGCATTCAGTCATGTATTGCAGAGCAAGGAGGTCAAACGAAGAGGTCAGAAAAGACTCCAAGACTGTAAGAGAATCATTTCATATTCATTTAAGTAAAACTTCTATAGTTAACATACATGTATTAGATATTTGCCGAAACAACTTCATTCATAATTTCTGGGAATACTATACATAGTGTGCGTGTGTGCGTGCGTGTGCTTATGTGTGTGCGGCTTGTGTGAGAGAGCGAGAGAGAGAGTAGGAAACACATTAATTAACGTGAAAAAGGTCACTGACATCAAACCCCCTGTGAATAAAGCAAAGAGTAACACTATTCGTAATATACGACATAATTCTTTACGTAGGGGTATTATGCAGGGAGTCATTTCAAACAGCACACACCAACATTTGCTTCTGGACAATATTATTTCGTGTTAATCCCTTCATCGCAAACAAGACCATGAACATCACATTTCCTCACAGTGGCCGTGTTTATTACATGTGGTCACCACCCTGGGACATATAAGGGAAGCAACAGAAGGGCTGTATGTTTACCCTCAGGATTAAGTGGA